CAGAGGTAGTGCTGACTTTATAGTGCACGCTAGACACAATGTAGATTGCGCTGAATCGCACTCGCTAAAAGACTTACAGGTCGATCTCGTCAGCAAGAGGTATTCCAAGCTCTTTCATGACAGCCACGGCATTTTCCCATTGGTGTTGCAACTCAGCCTTTCTTTCCTTGGTCGCAGGCGCTAGGCTGGTACCGGTCAAAAAGGCGATGTCGCTCTCGTCAAACCACAGAGGCGTAGTCATACCTTCAGGCCCTGGCAGGCATGAGATGTAGGCGTGCCATGGCGACTGCTCGCCCCTCTTGCGCTGTTCAATCAACAGCAGGTACGTCAGAATGTGGTCCGGTATTTTCCTCCGACACCGTTGAAGAGGGCTCTCAACGTGCAACACCTCTTTCTCCTCTGGGTCTAAGTTGAGAGAAGACAGCGTCAGCTTCAATGGACATGAAGCCACCACAGTGGAGCTCAATGGTCTCGCAGCGCGCATGTGAAAGCCATGTGAGTTGCTGTAGACGATCTGGACGTCTGGACTGAGCTGACCCCCATTCTGCGTGAACCAATCGACAAGGCTCTCGGCTGATGGATGGGAACCGAAGCCCTGGCCTGATGTTTCGTCCGTTAACATTTGCACTTGTTGCCAAAGATCGCGACCCTCGCTGACACTACTTTGCTACTGTTGCGGCCGTGAGAATCGGGCGTTTCTTGACAAATGGGCGAACAGAAACGCCTTTCGTACGCAAAGCTTTCCTGTTTCGATGTGCTAGGTCTCTCGGAAGTTCGGTTGAGCCGACTGCGCGACGGTAATGTGCCCTCCAGCTGACGAGTCGGTCTCGGTGAAAATTTGGCAGCACGGGATGCGGAGCACTACGGAACCGACGATCAGAAGCGAGCGGGCTTGCAGAAAGATCGTGAGTTGTAGCGGGTCGTGCAGCAAGAGGTGCAGCACGGCGTAATGGTGTGCTGCTTTGTCGGTGAGGTAACGGCTAATTCGAAACCCTCCTCGCGACGTTCATGGTACAGTTGCGTAAGCCTCAGGCGGCCGCGGGGTGCCTTGTTCCATTGTTGTAGCGAACATCACAACAGCAACGCCCGAGTTTGACAAGCTTTGCGTCAGCTGCGGTCTACTTCTGCCATGATGCTTCAGTGCGAATTTCATGGCCGATGTCTCCTGGGTGGCTTGGCTGACAGCGTTACTCGCTTGAAACATCGCAAGGCTAGCCAATCGAAGCTCCCCTCGGTCTATACGAATACGCCGTGCATTGACTGCCCAGAGTCCCTTATGAAGGTTCCATGGTCGCCGTGCCGCATGATCAATCTTAAGATGGTGAGATAATCAGGTATTCGGACCCCTGCGGAACGTGTCTTCTGCTCTCGCTCGAAGGTCCGCACCGAACCGAAGTGAGACCTCGCTGTCAGCGGTCTCTTTGCTGGCGATGACCACACCGTAAGCAGCCCCCCAGCTTCTGTCCGCCGAAGCCGAGTAATCACTCCCCGATGAAGCAAAAAGAGGGGCTCGTAGCGAGTGTGCATGATATGCACGATGGGCCAATCGTTCTAGCCCCTTGCCGGATGCGGCTTTGCTGGCGTCCCTGCGCCAACGGGACGGACGACGGTTGACTTTACCGGCGATGGAGCCTGTGTGCCTTGTGCGTCGACGATGCGGATGGTGAGTAGAGCCCTGCCCGGCCGATGAATGACCTGACGGGGGGCCCATCAGGGAGGCTTCTTTTTTGTTTCCATTTCGTTTTCTGCAATTGCATCTGCGCCGCGTTCTGAGACATCCAGCTGTCCAAGCTCAAATTATAGGGAACGATTGATTGGCCAACCCACTCCCTGCATAAGGTCAGCTCTGCTAGCTGTGGCTTGTAAGTCAGCCCCAGTTGTTCGTCGCCTGGTGGATGTGCCTATTACGCTTGAGGGGCACGACCTCCAAACTTCAGCGCACAGCCCTTGGGGCCCGCCTTCATAAGAACGATGGCGTCCCATGCGCTGATTGCGCCCGTGTTTTCGTTGCGTTTTCCTTGTTTGCTGACGGACATCTCAGCATGTCACACCTGGATTGAGTGCTGGAGCAATGCTGCTGGACATGTTGACCGCCGACGCCGCCAAACACGGCCATGAGAGCTCACCACCGCGTGCAGCCTCGCCGACGACCAATGGCTCTTTCCTGCAGATGCCGCTTTCCCTTCTCGGCTCCGTCTTGCGCGGCCAGACTCCTTCACCGTCGCAGGCGACCCTACCTTCTACCCACACCGACCCTACAACCGATGCCCCTGACACTCCTACGCCCGCCTCGCATAGAGATGCGATGAAGAAGCCGCATGACGAAGCCATCATCACCCTCGCTCCCTCAAGGCCTGCCTCCTCCGGCAGCGATGCTACCAGCGACAAGCCCAAGAAGCGGACCCCTCGTTCCAAGACATCCTACATCATTGCCCGACCGGTAAACACTCGCTCCAAGCTACATAGCCGACAAAGAGTTGCCCTGCAGCTACACCAAGTCATTGCGTCACAGCGACCAAAGCCAGCCTATGAAGTCGTCCCTTTCTCGGCAATCCCCCAGCGAGCCTCGAGACGTCTTTCGAGGAGCTTCAACACCAGGGAAAGGCTGGGACCACACGATCTCCTTATTGCCCAAGCAGAAGCATACAACAGTCAGGACGACGAGAATAAGTCGGAAGAGGAGCGCTGGGGATCGCGCGATATAGTTGGCGTCATCAGCTCACGGAAGTGCGACAGGGGGGTTACTGAGACGACAGAGATTTGCATGAACGACGGGACGAGTCGCTGGGCAGTCACCGTCATGTCTAACGGAGGCTACGAATTCAATAGCACTGACGAGCATGGCCTAACGCTGAAGGCTCGTTGGGTGTTGAAGCCGAACCATTCGCGACGTGTATCCAGCATGTCAACGACCGCACCACTCTCCCCATCGCTCCCTCAAGTTCCAGACGAGAAGAAGTTTACCTTCAGCACCTTGAGCGTCAACTCCAGACGCCATCCCATCATTGCAACAATGACCCGCAGTCGCATAGATGTCATGGATACGTACGCAATGCCATCTGCTGCCTCGCCGTCAACGCCTAGCATTACTTCCTACACCCAGTCACCTACAACCGACACCTCTAGCATCGATGTCAACACCTTCATGGACACATTGACGGACAAGCTCCCCACCGAGACAGGCGATGCACTCCGGCAATTCATCTTGGCTTCTGGTGTCTGGGTTGCGTCGAGAGAATTCGCGACTGAGAGCCCCTCCTTGTCTTCGCCTCCAACCTTGACGCCCTCTGCAACCTTCCGTCCAGCCACCAACCGCACATTCTCCATGTCCATGTTGGAATGCCCACGCTCGCCATCCCCAGCTTCGACTCTCGACGAGAAGCGCCGCTCGTTTCCTCGGATGTTCAAACCTAGCATGGAAAGACTACCCCGTCGCACGACGAGCTTCACGGATACTCCTCCTTCGCCTGCGTCAACCAAAACGGCGGCAAATGCCTCTCCCGTACCTGTTGTCAAGACCCGTGCGCGACGTGCGAATTCCACCGGCACTGCTCTTCATAGCATGACAGGCAGCATGAGGAAGAAGTACGGCCTCACATTCGAAGACCAGACACTCGTCGAGACCCCCGAAGAGCGCTCCATGAAACGCAGCGTAGAGCTCCTTCGCATCAAGGAGCTCTCCCTCCCCTCACCCATAGAACGTTCCTCGGCTGAGTCAACCCGCCCACTCCCTGCTACTATCCCCTCTCCTGTCGTCATTTCCCCATCAACCGAAGGCCCAACCTCGCCCGCACCCCTACTCGCTTCCCCCCTCTTATCACCTGCCATGCCAGAAACCGAACGCTCCCGCAAGACGCAGTCAGCATATGCGCCCATCACAACAACCGGCATGTGGGACTCCGGCGTCACCGAGGGACCTGGTCTCAAAAAACGTCCCACGAGCATGTTTGTCATGAACGAGAAGAAGCGCAAGCAAGAGAAGAAAGGTGGGCGTAGTAAGAGCAAGGAAACTAAGACTAAAGCTACTATTGAGGATGGGAATGAGGGTCTTGGGCTTAAGAGGAAGGGCGATTGGTACATGTACAAGATCAAGCTTCGCCTCAAGAATTGCTTTAAGAAGGAGAAAGCTTGATCTCTGTCCATTTTCTTCCAATGTAGCATTGGCATTGGGTATAAGCATCGCTGGGCGTTTTCTTGGTTACACACACTCAAGGCTGGACCTGTTGCTGGTCTGCAGTCACCACTCATTGCATTGTTTCCCCTTCTCTTCTTGTACATACATACATACACACCTTGTTTCCTACGCTAGAGAGGATTTCTCCTCATCGCAAGTCGCTGTTCTTGTCTATACCCAATTCCTATTCGCACCCGCAATCTTGGGCAGCGTAGCGTAGCTCAATTGATGATACTTCTTGTTCTTGCTCCGAAAATTACGTCCGATGCTCCGTCACTACTGCATGGCGATCTTCACATGCTGGGCTAGTTTTACTATGCCGAAGCTAGAGACCATGCTACAGCATTTGCCGTGGGCTAATGCAGATGCTGCATGTTGCGATTCTCTGCTCCGGTATCCTTGGCATCCTCGAGGCCCGATGCTATCGGCCGAAGTGTCGGACGATTTGGAGAGCTCGGATGATGCGGAGGATGGTTGCATGACTCGTGGGTCGAGGTGGAACAAGGTCTTGAGCGGATCTTGCAGATTGATTTCCTTGCTGCATGCTATTCACCACAATGCATGTTGGTGTCGCCTTCTGTGGATACTTGCACTCGGGGTAAGACGCACCGTGTCGGGGAGTTGAGAAGGAGGTTATCATGATGGAATAGCTCTTAAAGGAAGATGCGCGGCATTTTTCCCGGGTGCTTTTACTTGGTATCTCACTGGAGGTTGCAAGCAAACTGTTTTCATGGAGGCGAGCCTTCACCGAAGAGGTCCCAAGAAGGTGATTTAACCTGAATTCGCGACTACGAGCTATGTCTCTCTACCAAACCACCGGAGAATTAGGATGACAACTCCTCAAAAACTGCAACCACTGTATTCTCGCCTCGACCTGAAACTGCCTCTCCACCACATCCCTAAACTCAATAACATCCCCCCTCACAGCGGCATCTAACCTATTCCTTACAAGATACAGTGCCAAATCGAACAGCACCAACAACTCGACATACGTCGCATACGGAGCGTTAAGTCAGCATTCCAAATGCCCTCGTATTCCATCCGCGTCTTCGAAAATTATCCCCAGTTTCTCAAGATAAGTGTGCGGACTCGCCGGAAACGTTACACTCGCAGGTGGGTCCAAGTACTTCAAGATGCAATCACAGCTTGCGATAACTTCAGTCGCCGTAGCAGGATGATGAGCCACATTAACCAGACTCTCCTCACAAAACGGACAACTCCAAACCTCGTGCTTGCAAAAATTGCTTACAATACACTCCGAGCCGAAAATATGCCCGCAAGGGATTTCAACAGGCCGATGCGGTTTCTCGGAGCCGATATTCTGCTTTCGAAGCGCAGTACTGCAGAGCGAGCATGATCCAAGGTTCTGTTTCCATGGGTTGAGCATTAACGGAACAACAGCATCCAGCGGACGATCTTGCGCTGGGAAGATTTTGATGCAACCGACTTGTTCGCGATCTAACGTCAACGGACCGCGTAGCGACATCTTTCCCACTTCGCGCATCGTGCCAATGAAAACCTGCGCATCCACATCGAAAATCTGGAGGAATTCTTTTTGCTAAGTAGGTAGTAGTTCGTGCCATCCCAACGCCCATTCTCTCATTCCTTCGGGTAGCGATGGGAGTTGGTGAGGTCCATAAACCACTCCCAACCGTTTTTTAGACTCTGAGATAGACTGAGGCTTGAGTCTTCGAGGATGCGTTGGAGTTGGGCGAGGAAGAGGATCTTAGGCCAGTGCGGCTGGGTCTCGATTTCTGCTTGATCTTCACATACCCTTTTCACGCCTGGAAAGTAACACTCTTGAGCTAAACACACCAGATCGCCTACGTTAGATGCGCCGTTGTAGTCTAGACCGCATTCTATGTGGCTGATGAGCTCTTCGATAGTATCGAAATATGTGGGAAGGGGATGGAGGCGGAGAGTGGAAACGGAGGTATCCGTAGGAAAATCCGCGTACCGCAGGTGGAATTTTAGGATGGGGATCACGGAGGTGATTTGACGTTCCAGGCGGATTATCCGCTTTAGCGGGGGCAGTGGAGAGAGGTTCGATGGCGGCGTGGGCTAATGTGTTGTTTGGTTGTGTGTCGGTGCCGTGGTGGGGAAGGAGAATCCGTTACTGCGTTGGACATGTCGGACTGGGTTTGCGCATGTCCTCGTAGCGTTGGTGGGATTAGGTGGTGGGGTTGGGAAAGCATGATGGTGTTTTAGTTTTGGGGTTCGAGAGGCGTTGCGTAGACTGCAGAGTGGGGTTTTTGGTAGAGTAGAAGACGTTTAGTTATGCGAGCTGGATAATTCCCTTCAACTAGATGTTTTCCATTCCATGTCTGCAGGTTCACAAAGACCACTTGTACAGCACACGGACAAGCCTCTCCTGCACATTACTTTCTGACCTCTGCGTGTTCGACCTCCGCTGCGTCCTTAATGTCTAGTCCGGCCATGTCTTCCTGATCCTTAGCCACGTCTCTAATCATCATGTTCTGTTTCTTGTTCTCGCTCTTCTTGTACAAATACTGCATGACCAAGAACGAACTCCAGCATCCAACGATGAAGCAGATATTCACCGCGTAGCCCTTTGTCCATTTTGGGCCCTCGACGATAGGGAATACTGTGATGGGGTAGAAGGAGAAGACAGCCCAGCCAGCCGTCAACATAGCGCCGACAGTGACAGCGCGTGCTTCTGCGTCGTCACGTAGAGCCATGTTGATGAACGGCATGAGGATGGGCGTCACAGCAGCTGATACACCGAGCAGGTAGTAGCAGGCGAAGTGGTAGCCCTTAGGGATGTTCCAGACCAGGAGAGAAATGTTGGCGACGATGTAGATAGTTTGGACGATCGAGAAGATGGACCAGAGTGGGTAGACCATGCAGAGGGAGGTGGCGAGGAGCGCGGCGAAGACGGACACACCTTGGGCACCTGTGGGGATAGTGTTGATTTGGGGTACGGTGTAGGCGCCGGGATATTTGGCAGCAAGGTCTTTGAGCCAGATTGCCATCTGTCCATGGGGATAAGACGAGGACAAGAAGCTAGTACTTAGTTAGCGTATGTAGTTGTGTTTTGTAGGGAAATGCTTACAATGTGTAGCACAGCACGCCCATGTAAAACTCCCAACGCATGAACGTGCGCTTTGCGACCGTCCAACTAAGCTCTTTGCTTGGTGCAACACCGGCGTTAGCCATGCGTGAGCGAGCCAGCGCGTGCTCTTTTGGCGTGAGCCACCAAGGCTTCGCGCTACTCGGCAGACCCGGGAAGATGAGAAAGCCTGCGAGAGCAATAGGAAGAGAGATTACTCCGTCTATGATGAAGAGCCATCTCCAACCCGACATACCACCGACACTAGATGAGGTTAGCGGTAGCAGGATGCTTGCCGGAAAGATCGCTTACCCGTTGAGGTTGTTGTAAGCCGCAGCCTGTAGGTAACCACCAAACATTACGGCAATGTTGTTGGAGACATACCAGACTCCCGTCCGTTTGAAGACCTCTTCAGGTCTATACCAAGAGCCAAGTACATATGTAGTACCAGATGCTACCGGTGTCTCTAGCAGACCGAGCAGGAATCTAGTACCGTAGATGTCGTTTCGGTTGCGCATCTGACTCTGGCAGAAGGTCACAATGGACCAAAGCACTTCCATGGTCGGCAGATAGTATTTGGCAATCTTCGGTCGCGATAGCAAGAGTAGAGACGGGACTTGGAACACGAGATATCCCACATTGTAGAAGGTGTCGAATAGCGAATACTCGTTGCCGTAGAGACTAAGCTCTTCTTTCATGCCTGACACATAGGCGTTCTTGATGTTCGAGGAGTCGAGCCACTTGAGGAAGACTAGTCTTGTTAGCATACAAAGACCCAAAGTCCTCGCACAATAACTTACACATGAAGGAACAGAAGGTCAGCAGACAAGCGTCCATCTTCCTGAGCAACTTCCTTTCCTCCTCGGGATAGTGCTTAGGATACCATTCCCAGAGATACATCCATGCCTTCCATGGCGACCTCTTAGGAGCTTCAGCAGGCGCGATAACGTTGGTATCGAACTCGCCGGTCCTGTTGGCGACACCAGCAGTTTCGTCGTTGGGCTGCGTGCTAGCCATGTTGAGTTGCCTCTCGTCAGATCAAAGTGTCGACGGCACGACCTCGGAAAAGTACAACAAAGCTGGGGTCTTCGTGCTTAAAGCCCTAACGTTCGTCGGAACCCGAAGAACAGGTGAATATGTAGCTCCCGCATAGCTCAATCTCAAAGCTAGTAAGCGACTGGACGGCTCCTCTACGGGCGTCGGGACATTTCTGTATGCGGATGGTCGAGTGCGGGGGCGGGCTTCTTCTGGGGAGATTTCCACAAACGGGCGCTGAAAGAGGTATTAATCCGTTGTCCGGGAGGTTTTAAGCTGCTGTGAGATGGTCAAGAACATGGGGAGACTGTGGGGTGATGAAATGAAGCTCAAATCTTGGATCTAGGAGGATGCATGGCGGTCCATGAGTCGTGCCAAGGCGCAGCCACAGGCAGGCAACTTCGGCGCATCGTTCGCCTAACAAAGTTGACAGTAGGCCTCGGAATAACTCGCTGATTACTATACCGCTTAGATCTTCGTATGCAAGTTTTCTTCTATTTGGCGTTATTCAGATGCATGTGTGGTGTGGTGTGGTAACAGCTAATGACGTCATAGACACGTTCCCGAACGGAAAATCTTTGGCGTGTCTTTACGCGTCGCGAACGCGAGCATCCATATTCATCGCCAACGTCTGCGACTCGGAACTGATACATGTGCTTTCACTTCCTCAGCCCATCTCGACAAACTGTTCGTATTGAGTATGTGTTCCTTGTGTAACCTTGAAAGAGGATGGTGCCCGGGGACCTCCCGTACAGAGCCGTGCATACGCATCTTCATGCGACTATACATCTCAGGACAGTATGTATACGGCAGAGCGTGATCGCGACCGGGATTCGATTTTGAATTGACCATATCTACTTCTACGCTACGCTTTGCCACTACTTCAACGCTTCAATCATCTTGTACAAGCTGTTCTCTAGGGTGACAGGCGATCGAAGTGCAGACCAATCGTAGTTCAACAATCCCCAAGCCTCATCCGCTCCTATGAGCGTGTTGGGAGTTCGGTTAGGACGAGTCTGGAGGTAGAAGCTACCTGAGAGCTCCCAATGCTGCCAGCTAACCTGGTACTCCTTCACCATCTCTACCAAACATCCAGCGTAGGTGGTTTGGTTCCAGTATGTTCCGTTTTGGATGAATCCCCATTCGGAAATTACCATCGGGAAAGTGTACTTAGTCGCTGGGTCGTCGGGGTTGACGGCCTGGAAGCCCTTCTGATACCACTTCCTCTTGAAGGTCGCGCAGTCATCCTGGGTGGCTTCGAAGTCATACTTGTGGATCTCGAGAACGATCTTGTCCTTCCAGGCAAAGCTATCGGGGACAAACTTCGCAGTCTTGTTCGCGGTTGATGTACCGCTGGTGCCATTGAGCGTCTTTCCGAGAGGAATAGGATCAATGTACGTGTCGTACGAGAGACCAGAGAAGAAGATCAAAGCATTCGGATCCGCCTCATGAACAGCGTCGGCAGCAGCAGTCATATGGATGTACCACGTATACCAGTCGACGGGCTCAGCTACCTTGGCAGCTCGTAGCTCATTGCGCAATCCCATCGACGAGAACGTTGACCAGTTTTCTTTCGCCTGAGCAGGTCAGCATCTGATCAACAGCATACGGTTTTTTGAGTACTTACATGCTTCGTCATGAAGGCCAAACCTCGCTTCCACTTCTCGACGTCGAAATCTTTCTCGCCGAACCAGCCATTGCCATCGTCATCGCCGCAGCACCAGAAGGCCTTCGATACGTGGTTGTCCAAGTGGATGATGACACCCTGACGCGACAACTCCTTGCCGACAGCATCCCACACTTGCAGCCTTGTCGTGTTCTTGGTGAACTGCGGGTTCTTCTCCAAGATAGCGTTCAGGACGTTTGTACCATTCGTACCCGGAATTGCGTTAAGGACGCTCTTTTCGAGAGTTTGATTTGGGCTATTCGCAAGATAGTCATCCACCATCTGGATTGCAAACGGCATACGGACCGAGTTGAGGCCGAGCTTAGGAAACCACGACACGATATCTTGGACAGAAGAGTGCTGGAGGCCTTCGGGAATCATAATCTCTTGGTGGCCCGGCCAATTTGTCGACATGAAATGGAAGACATCGCCATTCGCATCGACTATGTCGCGTCCCTTGGTCGACAGAGGAAGTATGGAAGCAGCCCTCTTTAAAGCTGATGGCGGCGCGGCAGCCGCAAAGGATAGCAGCAACAGTCTCGCAGTCGCATGAGTGAACAACATGTTTGAGGTGACCAGGACGAAGTGTTCGTTGGCCCTGTCCGTCTTATGGACGCTAGCATCTATATGCCGGCAAAGGTTCACACGATCGTCTCAACCTCAAGACGTGCCAATATCTACGGCCAAAGTATCTCCGTCCCTACGTGCTAGCAGCGCTACTGCAACCCCAGACTTCTCAGAAAGTGCAATGCGGGGAAAGTAGTTAAAAGCCCAGCTTTAAGTCGACGCTACGACGTTTCCAAGGCTTATCGACACAGCAAACGAAGGAACAAATACCCATTCTGGAAGACCGCCCATGAGCCTAAGAAATCACAGTCACGAGCATCAGGACGATACGAGAATTAGGAGAAGAATGACGTTCACATCGCGGGCAATGCCCTGAGCTTGTGCAAACGGCCGGGTAGCGGGCGTCGGGATAATGCAGATCCCACCTTTAGCCTACATCTTGACTTTGAAGTTTCGTCGCGAGATGACCCGGTATCGATAACAGCCCCGCCATGCTACGCGCGACAGTTTACGCGTCGCCCGATGTAGGCTTTTTGGCAAGAAGCAACACCTTGGCTGCTCTTCGCTTTGCTTCCTAACTCTTCCCTCCGCTCAGCTGTAGTTGAACATCTCTTGGAAACGCCACACCTCAACAATTCAGTTATAACTTCCATTGGACTGAAATCTGCCTCCGTATCGAACATACGTCACTCGTAAGTTCCGATCGCGAAAGCAAGATGGGAAGCGCTGTACGGGATGCCAAGATGCCTTCCAAGACCGCAATGTGAGTGAACGCGCATTTAAAACGACACAAGCCAATGCTAAGTCTGTCTAGCGTCAAAGATGTAGACCTCAGTCAGGTCTACTCAGAGAGTGTAGCTGCAAAGATCGTACAAGTCGCGCAAAGGGGCCTCAAACAACAGGCTCCCTTACAATCATATCCGCATACCGTACCTCAGAATGGCCCAGACGCAGGTCGATACGAAGAGCGAGAAGCAGATTTCTGGACATGCGGCTTCTTCCCAGGATGCATATACGCGCTTCTCGAACGCTCGATACGATATCCCCAGGCCATTGATGTCCCAGAATATGTGCGGCTACAGATCCAAGATCAGCTGCTAAAGTTAGGACGACACTATGGCGTCGCTATCAACCAGATGTCTGGTCGGACAGATACCCACGACATGGGCTTCATCGTGCAGCCCGCGTTACAGAAAGACTGGGAGTTGACCGGGAACAAAGAGAGCTTACAATCTGTCGTTAATGCCGCATACGCGCTCGCGTCGCGATACGACGATCGGGTGAAAGCGATTCGGAGTTGGGATGTTGCCATCAACGACCGTTACTCAATAACAGATATGTCGACAAACTTCCTCGTCATCATAGATAGCATGTGCAGTAAGACTTTAACCTCATTCTCTTACCTCCCCACACTGACCCATATATTCCAGATCTTGACCTCCTCTACTTCGTCGGTCACATCCAAAACGACCAAAAACTAATCGACATCGCAACCCAACACGCCGACTCCATCATCCACGAGATCCTGCGACCAGACTTCTCCTCCTACCACCTCGTAAACTTCGACCCGCGGACCGGTCAGCCACAAGCCAAGATGACGAATCAAGGCTGGAAAGACGATTCAACGTGGAGCCGAGGCCAAGCCTGGGCGATAATGGGTTTTGCGCAGACCTATTCGTGGACAAAAGATGTCAAGTACTTGGCGACAGCGATTCAATGCGCAGAGTACTTCTTGCGAAGACTGAAAGAAGGAGAGGGGAAGTGGCATCACCCCATGGTCCCGTGTTGGGATTTCGACGCGCCACAGGATAACCCCGAGGAGCCGCTACGCGATGTTTCCGCAGGCGTGATAACAGCGAATGGTCTCCTTATCATCCACCAAGCACTCCAGTCTCTCTCTTCAAACACGACATCGCAACTCCCCTCTAGTAGCGCCACCAATTTCCTCGATATCGCGTTGCAGATTGTATACCAGACGCTAGACATGTCATATGACTCTGATCTAGCGTCTTTTGAAGCACCCACCAAGACCATGGTGAACGGGAATAGCGTTAATGGTGGAGCGGTAACATCGGAGCTAAAGATCAAGGAGTCGGGCTTTGAATGTATACTAAGGAACAGCACGACGAATTGGAATGAGCATGCGCATATGAAGTATGCAGATCATGGGTTGGTGTATGCGGATTACTATCTTTTGGAATTTGGGAACAAGCTTTTGAGGGCGGGCTTGCTGTGATGGGTGTTGGGGCATTGGGACGAGTAATTCTTGGCGAGGAATCCACATGGGAGTGAAGCAAAGCTGTGTTGTCTGCTTGTAGTCTTGACGTGCGTTTGCTGTAAGTGAGGATCTGTAAAGACGGTACGGAGGAAGCTAGCATATGAGGAGAATAGAACGGAGGATAATTGAATAAGAGTCAGAGAGCAAATGAGTTGATTTCTTTTGTGTGCGTGATGAAATGAGCGTAATGCGTAAGGCGTGGTAGTGTATATACAGCGATATAACCTTGGAAAGTGAGCGTGGGTATGTGTATGCAACAGCATAAAGCGAGTGTGATAGTGCAAGTGTGCACAAACGTGAAGAGAGACATGTACAAGAAAGATGAGCGGAAAATGGGGCCTAGCCATCGATGTCCAGGCCGATGCCTAGCTCTGTCACTGCCACTGGCTTACACAGTGACATACTCCATGATGACCGAAGTCACAACCGTAGTCTGTGGGTCAGCGGGCGCGGTAGGCTCAGGAGCTTGCTCTGAGATGGTCGGCGCGCTAGAAACCTCAGGTGTAGGAGCAGGAGTGGATGGGATGGCCGGCGCGCTGGAGACCTCAGGTGAGGTTACGGGTGTAGGCGTAGATACCGCGGGGGTAGAAGCACCCAGCGTCACATACTGCGTAATGACCGATTCCAAGAGCGTTGTTGCAATTTGGGGACCCGCATCACCAGCGTCAGGCGCGACTTCCGGAACCGGAGCCTTTTTCCACTCAAATTCGCCAGACTCAGCGTTGTAAGATCCGCTCGACTGATCTGCGGGGAGAGTCGAGTTAGTTCCGTCAGGTCCAGGTCCGTTGTACACGGGCGGGTTGCCTTCGATATCGTCTTTGTATTCGACATCGCCGTTCCAGGTTGGCACCTCGGTGTCGGACTCTGGGATGCTGACTGGCACGCTGAATACGGTAACGTTTAAGCCCTTAGGTGGCTTGTTTCGTGGGATTTCGCTAAAGTCCAAAGCTTGGATGCGCCAGCTGAACTTCTCCTTGAGATAGGTCTGTACTGTCTCTTTGTCCAGGCTCTTGAGCTCGCCGGCCGCATGCTTCTGTGCAAGCTTCTCCGTCAGGCCGATATTACCCGTGACGATGTTTGAGGAGCTCATTCGCGGAGAAGACAGGGTGGCGAGCTGACCAACATAGTTGGGGTCCGTGGGCCAGTCGATGGGGTTGGTGCTCGGCTCCCCAAGGAAGGCACGAACAGCGTAGGAGACCTTGATGTCGGTCGGCATGTTGACTTCGCACTGCCAGTCGGTAGCCTGAACCGTGCGGTTGATGCTGCCTCCGCCTGGAGTCGGGAACGTCGCGTTGACTGTCGCATTGGTCTCGCTCAGGCCTTGAGTCTGGGCCTTATACAACTGGTTGATTGATGATGTCAGTGTCGCATTGTTCGGGTTGTTCGCGAGCTCGGGGTAGGTGTATCCAAAGGAGGTCCAGTTGCGGGAAGTGGTTGCAGTCCACATGTCGCCAAGGGCATTCATGTGGAACGGTGCGAGTGGCGAAGCAGTACCAAGAACGCTACCGCTGGCGACAGCGAATGAACCCATATGCTGCTCGGCGTCCTCGACCCAGGTGTCGGGGTAGCGAGTTTGGTACATAGATATGATCCGATCAATGTTACTACAAACGATTAGCACTACTGTCAGCATTGTGTCCTGATAACGTACCAGTGATGGAACCAGAAGATGGGGTCGAATGCTGAAACTTCCACTATGCCCATGTGACCCAATCCAAAGACGGTGTGCAGACCATCGTGTAGAGTCTCAAAGTTTCCGATCTTGCCACCGTTCGCCTTATTGCTCACTTGGCTGAAGGGTTGGTATGTCGTCAACAACTTGTAGAGCATATCGCGGAGATTGGGCTGCTGTTTGCCAACTCGATCGTTAACCTCGCTGTTACGGCTGGTGGCATTGGCAGCGTGGGGATCAGCTGGGTACCGAATAGTGTGGTTCCAGTACTTGAACTCAAACTCGCTCTAATTGTGTGTTAGCAGTCAATCTCTCGAGAATGATATCTTCTACGTGGAACGCGGAAATATAAGGCTGAGACGTACCAGAGGAGCGAAGTCATCATACTTCAGAGGATGGAAGTCGTATTTGTACAGAGGGTTGGGAATGTACCCTACAGTCCCGTTGGGAAACGTGACGGTAGCCGTGAGGCAACGCACGTTCTCAGGGATAACACCCTCTTCACTGTTTGGCGGATCCATCGCCCAGTCCCAGTACGGAAGGCGAACTCGGTTTGCGATATCCAAGGCCTTGTTACGGGCTTCACCGATGGGATACTCATTGGCAACATCGACCGCGCGATCATGGAGAACCTGCTCGAATAGCGCGAGATAAGGTCGGTGCCAGGGGCCAAACATGCTGGACCCGTGAGGACAATATCCCATCATCTCATGACCAGCCGTCCCGTTCACATTGTCCCACTTCTGGAATGGCACTCCGTGTATCCCTGGAGATGTTAGTTGAGCCTCTGGAAAGAACACGAATTCCATACCTGCGACCTGGAAGTAAGAGATTTTCTGATCCTGGTCCATGGCCTGGAAGCGAGCAAACGCCTGGATAAAGATGTTCCATAACTCCGTGTCTTTCTGCAGCTCACGGAGTTCCTGTCGGGGGTGGACTCCAGTTCCTTGGACTCCGACAACGCTGAAGTAGCTGTCGTCTGCCTTTGCAACTCCACATGAAGGGCCATTGGTTGAGTTGGATACAGCTTGCACGCTTGCCAGTAACGAGAGTGTGGTAGCCAGACCGGTGAAAGAAAAGAGTGATTTCATGTTGGCCAGCCGGTAGCGAATGAAAATGATCGTCAAGATCTGAACGAATGGAAGCTGCAACAAGTTGCGAACGAAAAGAATGAATGTCACTAGGACTGAAAGAAAGACTGAGCAAGCGATGCTGTGGTGGGATGCTGAAGAGCGACATCGTAAAGTATATAAGATGCCCGTAAAATGAACGGCTGGTGGCACAATCCACTGCCCCGCTACCTGTAAGTGACGTACCGCGCTGTAGTACCGGTACTTCATGCGTAAAATATCTACCATCTGTCAATAGGCAGGTACCGCAGCGTGCACGCCGCTGTTTCTCGGTGCATCCTTGCATGTAGGATGATGTTCGAAACATGTTTGGTTTCTTCGCATGAACGTGCCAAGGACGGAGGAGCACGAGGTATGGACCATGAACACAGACATCCAGAGTCCTGTAGCGAGTTTTCGAGCTTCACTGGGGGTCTAGTACCGGTGTTCATGATCTCAGTATAACCGCGCTTGACCGTTGACTTGGTCGTTCTAGCCAAGCCGCAGCATAGATAGTTGAGTATCTTGGGCATGTCGTAGCCCCACCAGCTAGTCGAGAATCAAACATCAGCACGAGCGGGCCATCTTCGATCGGTGCAGTATACTGATTGTGGCTGTGACGTGGGGAAGCTGTGTGATGTTGATTGTGTGAGATGGCAGGGCTGCGGCACAGACCACCACGACATGGTGCGACACTCACAGAGAGCAAATTGACGAGCAACCGAAATTCAGGCACCTATCAACTCGGATGTGGCGGCCTGGAATGGACGATGCGACGAAACAATATCGGCACGTAGCGATTGCTAACCGGCAAAATTGGTCTTATCGTGATTTTGCGGGGGATGTGCTTCATACACTTTCCATAGTGTCGGGAGGCATGGAGTCATCGACATCACGCGCTGTGAAAGTGCGTTTCGTGTCCTTGTCTTGTTTCGTCTTGCTTCCTTTTCTCTTTCTTGAAGCTGCACCATCAGATGCGATGTGCAGTCTTGCCCACTTTTTGACTCTCTTGAAAACTTCGACTACTGGCACCGGGAGCCCACCCAACTCAGCAGCTGAGATACCATTGCTTCTCGTCAAGACATCGATACTTGTTCGTGCACGCGTGATGGCTGGATTCAGAGATTGGCCAAAGACGGTGTCACCGAACGACGTCAAGGCAATGTTCTTTAGGAGCAGAATGTCGCCAACTTTGATGCTCTCTAGTGTTTGCAGTAGTTTGTTTTGAACATTATTCTGGTCGTTGTTGGACTCCCGGGGTGGACGCAGCCAGAAAGTGACCTTGAAGGCTGAACGGGTATCATCCGCAACGATGATCTCCCATAAATTCATCTTGTATCCGCCCTTCCGAACGAAGACTTCTTTCTGTTCGGGTGTCGCTGTCACAACGCATAGGAAGTTTGGTGTTGGAGTTTGAGGGTAGATCGCTCGTAAACGCTGTGCGTTAGGTAGTAATCCAAGCGGTGTGACAGTCATCTTGGGCGGGACTTTGACAAGTAGTGTATGCTCATCGACTTTGCTTGGGCTACTAAACTCCGATGCAGTAGTCCCGAAAGAAGTAGTCAAGAAGGACGAGGAGCTGACGCTCTTATCCGTCATACCATCTGGTAGGACCTGAGACGACAGTAGCGTGTCGTGGAAGATGAGCGAATGCTCAAGATAGCCAGGCGTGGCGATTGACGGGTCTTTGAAGGCGATAGACGTGTCAAGGTGGGTCGTGTCTTCCTGCAAGAACGATGTATACCGAATCACATCGGGTAGCGAAACATCTGACATGTCTCGACCTAGAACGCTCCCTGGAAGAAAAGGTTGCGACCATCCAGTTTGAAGCCGAGGGTTCTGGAAAGGCAGCCCGCGCCACTTCAAGGATGGCGTAGATCTATTCGCGGGTGTAGAAATACCTGTTGCTGCATCAAAAAGATGGCAATCCTTAACTGCTAAAAGTGTGTCATCGTTGAACTCTAGCTGTTCGCGCAACGGCGCCCCATTGAGCGTCTTGAGCCGCATCTTAGGCGAGAGACGCGTCGACGCGTACACGTTGAATCGACGCGCACTTGGCAGAAGTCGCGGCGACAGCGTCGTTCTTTAGATAAGACTAGCGTAGGAGGAACGCGAAGGATATGTGGAGCCGAGTAGAGAGGAGTCGGAGAATGTGAAGAAGTCCGGGCCTCGTCCAACAAATCCGAGCCATTCGCAGATGGTTGTCGCCTAATCTGATGGCGCGAGGTCCGAAGGCCGAAGCAATTCACCGATACATGAAAAGCAATATAAGAGGCGGTCAGCTTCCGTGAAAACGATCTGTAAGAGCTCGATACCGGTGTTATTCAATCATTACTGTTCGGTAGGCAACAACGGCCGTGAACGGGCGTGACAGACATCATCCAGGTACCAACCACTCCGTAAGCGTCGGCGTCATTGCGCGCCCACATTCCGCGGCTTGGCGATCTAATCGCCGCATCTGATATAAAGATACGCAATGGCACCTTCCAAGACGTCCCACAGGCCGATAAACGCCTACCGAGTCCCTGCCATGTTGCGAAACCTCTCCTACAAGCTGACCTCAGCCCTCTCGTCATCAGAAGTTCCCACGTTGCCAAAGGACAGCGACGAATTCACCAAAGCGAAGAAGACGGAGGAGTTGTTCCCGACCACCGACCCCGCGGTAGATGGCGACGATTGCCTGCACGACTGTGCCAGTTGCAGTGTCAAGTACCCGCGCAAGTTTGAGATTGATGAGACGGAAGAGCTGTATGGGCACGTGAAGGGATGGAGTACCCATTTGATTGTTGCGACGGGCAAGACGGATTGGGTGCGCGATGTTGCGGACGAGAAGGGCAGTATTATGGAGGCGGTTGACAAGGGCGATGCAAAGCCTAGCAATGGGGTGAGTTTGAAGACATGATGCTGTCAGGCTGTATCGATTGCGTGCTAATTGAGTATAGAAACTCATGTTATCCGCCTCTAATATACCCGTCCCAGACCACTCCGATCACAGTTCTATGGTACTATTGCTACCGTCGTGGCAGTTCATAGACAATGTCACGCCTGCGAACATCCCCGAACTTATTACCGACTATATCAACCCCGGTCCTACGAATAATACCCCGTTGCGCTCACGGAAAACTGCCGCGCTACCACCTCCAGAAAAACCGGAAGAGACTTCTTCCGCCGACACCGACGCGCCCTCCTCGATACCCCCGTCGATACCCGCTCCCCAACTCAAAGCCCGACCATGTCCACACAAATACCTCATCCTAATGTGCAGTCAAAAGACACGAGACGCACGTTGTGGCCAGTCCGCTCCTCTTCTACGGAAAGAGTTCGAGCGACTGCTCCGTCCATTGGGACTGTACCGCGATTTACACGACGAGCGACCGGGCGGTGTAGGAATATACTTTATAAGTCATGTGGGAGGACATAAGTTCTCAGCAAACGTCATGGTCTACCGACACTCTTCAGTCGTTACACGGCCCGAGAGCAAGAATGGCACTGCCAATGGACATACCAATGGCGCGGAACAGCGGCTCGCGGAGCTGAAGCTTGAAGATGATAATGGGCAGGAGGTTCTTTTAGATGCTAATAAGGAGCAAGAGGCAGAGGGTAATGGCGAGGCTGCGCAATGTATATGGTTGGCGCGAGTGAAGCCTGAGGATTGTGAGAATATTATCAAGTACACGGTGCTGCAGGGCAAGGTGGTGAAGCCGGAAAGGCAGTTACGGGGTGGATTTGATCGGTGCAAACAGCTAGCTAGTTGGTAATCGACTGTGAAGCACTGCCGTATCCTCCAGCTCCGGGGCCGTCTGATTCGCAGGCAATTCATGTGGTGTCTCTTCTACTTCCTCTGATGTAGTCCCACAACCTTCGTCGTTTGCACTTGCTGACTTTGCGCTCTCCTTGCTACTTGGATGTCTCCGGCGAACCCAATACATCGCGACGAGGACGATACCAATGATTGTCAAGCAGCCCAAAACGCCGCTTATTATCGCACCGATCTTGAGGGAGTTTACTTCGGGTTCGTTGATCGAAGATGATGATCTGTTATCGAAAGGCACAGAGATAATAGAGGCCGGGGTCGCGCTGGTCTGTTGAGGCCGTGAAGGTGTATCGCTAGAGTCGGATCGGTCGGCTGTTATGGTGATAGTCTTGAAGAGAGGTGGTAATATGACGATGGAATATGGTCCTACAGATTCTATTACGGTTTCTGTGACGATTCCAAACAAGTCCCAGGTATTAGGTGTTATCTTGAGTGTTTGGAGGCTTGTTGGAGCCGATTCGGTTGGGCTGGAGATCGGCTGCTATGTGACTACTAGATTGCGAACGAGTAGAAAGATAGGTGGAATACATGCAGTTCCCATCCAACTCGCCACGGTTGGGCACTCAATAGTAGCCAGCAACTTCCAGAAGCAAGAAGAAGGTACTTAAGACACGATTGATTAGGTAGAAGCCTGTTATGTTTCTGCTTCCTACACGCAACCCTTTTCAACAAAAATGTCACTGTAACACTGGTATGTACCATCGCGGCCATGTCACCTGTACTAACATGCTGCAGCGCAGCGCCTACACTCTGGGCGATTGCCTTCAGGAAATGTTAAGTAGTACAGAATATGTACTTACTGGGGTACATAGATGTTTGGGCTTCAAATACGGTCCATCACGCGCATACAGCAAGAGGCATGTTGGACTCGAACGCAATAAGGGGTATCATTTGTGGTGTGTCGCTTTAACATGCGTATATGGTATGCGCCGGTCGCGTTCCTGTGGCCTCTAATCATCGAAACATTGACCGGTGTTGAACTCTTTCGAATATTGCCCCGCCAATCTTGAACCACGCTCCTGGTTACGCTGTTCGTGGTGGACCTTGCTCGACGAAAAGTATCTGAGTGGGTCCGACCGACACCTCGTACTCGTTGTCCACAAAAGAGCTCCGCGCGCGATGATGGCAATTGTTTGGAGGATTTCGATCACCACGTAAAAGCTGTGAGAAAACCTTGAGTCGCTTGTAATCACGCGACTGGTAGTACATGCACAGACACGTCCCTCATCAGCCCGCGGCTTCCTTGACTTTGCCACCGGGATTAGGCGCTTCGTCGATGAACTGCGGTGGCGCGGTATCGTCCAACATGAAGTTTGGTACTCCTGAAGACTCTCCAATACCCTCAAAGTCAACCTCGTCACCCAGTGCCTCCAGCTCAGCATCCAGCTCCGACTCATCCACATCTTCCGGCACGTCGTAGCTGCGGCTTATAGCGTCTTGTATGTCATTTCCCATATCCATAAGATCCGCCATCTCGTCTTGCAGCTTATCGATCTTGTCGATGTTGACCTTGCCGTACTGTTTCCGTAGTTCTTTCGTCGTTGTCTTCATAGCGTCGATGGTGGTCATTGTGTTCTTGAGGTTGTCTTGCATCATGCCGGCCTGCTCCATATTCCACGATTGCGCCTGAAGCTGGTCGCGCTGCGCCTCGTATTGCTTCCGCTGCTGGAGGACCTTGAGGGCTTTTTGCTTAATGGCGGTTTTGCCGGGGCCATCGCGCATCTTGGCGAGCTTCTGCTGGTAGGTGGATAGCTCAGCATTGAGCTTGGCGAGCTTGACATCGAGACTTTCTATGCGTGTGTCGACCTGAGCGTGTCAGTATATGAGGGGTGTTGCCTGATAGGTGAAGCTTACATTGGATATGGCGCTGTTGAGCGTGGGCTTGGGCGCGGTGCTCTTTGCTCCAAATAGGCGATTCATGCTGGTAGTGGGATTTGTGGGTTGCCGGCCGGAGAGTCAGAATATGCAGCCGAGGGGGGAGGACAGGCGTGGAGTGTGTTGGCAGTGTGGGGTGAATGGCAGGCACCGAACGATGGTCGTAGCTCCGGCAGTTCCCGCTAACGTCATCGATCGTCACGTGGACGCTAGCGATTGCCTGACCCTGAGATGCCCAAGCAGGATTGCCATAGCTTGGAGTTTCCTATGCCATGGCAATTGCCGACATTGACAAACTAACAAAAGCAAACATAGTACATGATGAAGCAATTTATTAACAGCTATCTACAAATGAGCCAAATCAACAGTCTCACAGGCGGATACCGGCATGCGATGCCAGATGCAAGATGCAACAACCATCACATTGTCGAGAGTCTTACTTAAATCTCCAGCATGCGCGATGTTCATGGCCAGGCATCAGCACTAGCTCGCATGCTTATCTTGAGCAACCGCTGGGTCCCAAACTTGTAACCAGATACGGCTGGCAGTCTTCTTCAGGCTCCACACGTCCTGGTTGATATCAGGGAGGTGCAAGTAAGTGATCTGCGGCGCACGCTACCCGTAGCAGCTTCTAGCCCTGAACTGTCACCACCAAACCCAACAATACCCACAGCACTCCGACTCGGGAGACACAGACGTTTTCGCAGCTTGTATCTGTAACGACGCCTCGCAACAGTTGGTGCATGGGTTGATACAGAGTCTCGCGCGCTTTTTGTTTGCCATTGCCTTCCCCGCGGCCTCGTTCGCCTAGCAGGTACCTGTCCCACCTATGCAACCCAGCCCAAGCCACGAACACGCGCCCTCTGTCTCACTCGAGTCGCTCTGCTAACCAGCCCGCCGCCGTGTCCAGCTCTGCACCGGCGAGTCCCTTCTATGACGCATTGGTCGCCGCAGTAAATCTACGCATGTGCCCCACGCAGCTGCACACGCTCTCGAGTGCCTCGCCCGACCCTTCCCCTGCCCCGCCCTTGTAGCCGCAAACCACCGCAACCACCATGTTTTGGCGCTTCGGCGGGTACGCGCAGCTGTCGTCGCTCGACAGCATCCTCGACAAGCCCGACGTCACCGTCGAGGAGCTGCTCGACGAGTCGGATCTGATACAGGAGCTCAAGCAGCAGAACTCGAAGCTGATAGAATATCTTCGCGATGAGAATGTCTTGGAACGCCTGCTGCGCTACGTTATCGCCGCCAGACCCGACCTGCCCCCTGACGACGAGACCGGAGGAGAGCCTGCGCACGAGGCGAGGAGTCCAAGTCGGACGGGCTTTTTCGGCAAAGTCAGGGCACGCTCGACATCCACCACCAAGTCCGATGCGGGCGATAGTGAAGAGACCAAGGAGGAGCGACAGCGCATGAAGTACGCCTATGTGTCGTGCGAGATCCTATCGTCCGAAGTATGGTCCATCTCCGAGGCTGTCCTCGAGAACCAGGACACTTTGCGACAGTTCTGGGCCTACATCAAGCAGCCTGCGCCGCTCGACCCCGTCCAGGCTGGCTACTTCACCAAGGTCAACGAGTCGCTGCTCGACCGCAAGATGGAGGAGATGCTCGACTTCTTCAAGTCATTGGACGATGTTGTAACAGACATGTTGCAGCATGTCGACTGCCCAGTCATCATGGACCTGCTGTTGAAGATCATCAGCCTTGAGAAGAGCGAGGGTGGACAAGGCATTGTTGACGTAAGTCATCTCATACACGCTTGCTGGCATGACTGACAGACTCCAGTGGCTGCAACAACAGAATCTCATTCCCCGCCTGATATCGTTCCTCGCCCCAGATCAGTCGACTTCGACACAAACGTCAGCTGGCGACTTCCTCAAAGCCATCATCACGATATCCGCAAACGCTACCACGCAAGACCAGTCCGTCATCGGGCCCAACGAGCTTACACGCCAGCTTGTCTCCGAACAATGTCTGAAACAGCTGATCGATTTTATGCTACAAGGCGGCAACCCGCTAACAGTCGGTGTGGGCATCATCATCGAGGTGATCAGGAAGAACAACTCCGACTATGATTTGGAGAATCAGATTGGGCCGGTACCCAAGAACTCAGACCCTATCTACCTGGGAACACTGCTTCGCCAATTCGCCAACCACATCCCGCAGTTCATGGAGCTAGTTAATAGCTCAAGTCAGATCGTGACACAGCGCGATGGTAGCACTACAAAGAAAAAGCGAGAGCTCAAGACAGCCTTTGGCGAGAAGATTGAACCGCTTGGATTTGATCGTTTCAAGACGTGTGAGCTGATGGCCGAGTTGCTGCACTGCAGTAACATGGCTCTGCTCAACGAACGGGGCAGCGAGGCTGAAGTCAAGAGGCGAGATGCCGAGCGGGAACGTCTCAAGGCCGATGGCAAATTGACTTCAGCGATTTCTGGCAACCCAGGCGATTTCTCCACCAGTGTCGATAGTCAAGGCTTTCACCACGCGCGCGCCCCATCTATGGACTCTCCTGCAGAGATAAAACCTCTGCACGTACAGAATAGCTCGGAAGACGACTTTGAGAAGGTTGTCGCGCCAGAAGTTGCAGTCGAGGAGGTCAAAGATACCTCAACAGAGAAAGAGCAAATTGGAGAGCCATTGGAGCCCTCGCCGAAGCTGCCACCGAGAGATGTGCCACAGGAATCGTCCTCTGCCAAGACCGCAGGCGATGACGGCGAGTTTGTTGACGAGCCTTTGACACCACCCAAAGACGCTGCAGCACCTGCTGAGAAACCTGAATCTCCACCTAAGCCTGCAGATGATGCCGAGTCACCTACATCGGCCGGCCTGAGTGCCAAGGTCGATGAGCTTGAGCTGGATACCGACACCGTTATGAAGGATCGCCAGGAACCGACAGAGCCGGCAAAGACTGAGAAGTCGGATACCGATGTTAAGACCCCGCCATCTCTTCTAACACAACAGCTCAATCAGACCTCGGATACTGTCACCGCTGAACAATCCGAAAGCCTTTCGCCTCACCCAGACGACAAGCCGGCGCCATTGTTTGCGGGTAAGAATCGCGAAACTAAAGCTGAATCAGCCAGCATCGACACCTCGCGCTTCACAGCACCAGTAGCGGGATCAGATCTTTCGGAAATCACTCCTATCGACGAGTCTCAGAGCGTGCGTTCCGTAGTATTTGGTAGTGCAGAGGATACCGTGGGCTTCGAGATTGACATTGACGGTACGCCTGTTGTTGGCGACTTGCTGAAGATCACATTCGTTGAGAACAAAGTTGTACCAACGATACTGGTAAGCCCACTCGATTTCTTTTAGCGATTTATGCTAACATTTTTAGGATTTCTTCTTCCGCTTCCCATGGAACAACTTCCTACATAACGTAGTATACGATGTCGTTCAGCAAGTCTTCAACGGCCAGATGGACCGTGGATACAACCGTCAGCTAGCGATTGACCTCTTCGATAACGGAGGCATAACCGAGCGCATCATCAAAGGACAGCAGGAGAGCGACAAATCACACCAAGAAACGTCCATGCGACTAGGATACATGGGTCACCTCACCCTGATCGCAGAAGAGGTGTTAAAGTTTACAGAGCGACACACCGACGAAGTCTTGTCGCAGATGGTCCTAGAGAAGGTCCATGCTCAAGAATGGGTGTATTATGTGGAGCATATTCTAGCTGAGACTCGAGAGCGCGACAACGCCATTCTCGGAGGCGTCCGACCTGACATGAGCGTCGGGCCCAGACAGGCTGTGCTCAACGCCGTCAACGCAGCGAACAACAACTTCGGGGGCGACAGTGGCGGGCTCTCCAATGCAAGCCTCGCCAACAACGGCAACATAGGCCTCGACAGCATGGAGCTCACCAATGCTGGTGACACTGAGGGTGGTGGGTACACCTTCAGCGGAGGCTCCTTGCTTAGTGGCTTTACTAACTCGAGTGACGAAGAAGACGAAGACATGGACGATGTCGACACCGAGAGAGAGCGGGAACAACGACAGGGACCTGTCGACGACTCCGAACAAGTGGGTGAAATCTCATTTGACGATGCTGATATGGACTATCGATAAGTCCATGGCCCCGAGCATACACACTATACCACGAATGTTTCCCGCCCTTGGTGCGTTTCCTTTCCTTATACTTGTTTGTATCATGAGCGGGAACGGACAGACGGCTCGCATGCTAGATCTATGGGCCTATCATCATCCTTTCTGTACATACATTCCTTGCGCCATCCGACAGGGTGTATGATACATGTAGTAATACGCATCGTGAGATGTGGTTTCCTCTCATCTCCTTTGTGTGATGTACCACTGGATGATTGGGCTTCATCGATCTGGTATGGTGTCCTCTTTCCTCCTCGCTTCCATCTGCTTGTCTCCCTTTTGTCTACCCTTTCTCTGTAAAATCCGATTTGTTCGCGTTCCATGTCCGCCCTAAACTCTCGCCCTATACTACCACTGACCGGCTCCACTAACATTCTCTTTCAGCCCAGCATCCCACCGCCCCTCCAGATTCCACCATCGCGCGCCCGCCGCCAATTCGCCCTCCGCCTCGCCCAACGCAAAGCGCAGCTCGAATCAACGCGCGAAGCAGAAGAGGACCCAGACGACCCTTCCGCCCCGAAAACTCAAGAGCAAGAAGAACGTGAAGGACACCAGCGCTTCGCACGCATGTTTGAAGGCATCGAAGACTCTTCCGACGACGACAGTCTGCACAGTATCGAAGGTATGGGAGAGGATGAGGAGAGCATACTAGGCCGCATTGAAGTTGAGGGCCAGGAAGTGGGCAGGAGGAGTCCGCTTAAAGTGGCTAGTCCTGAGAAGGTGAGTAGTCCGGAGCTGGAACGGGGGTCGAGTGGTGGAGAGGCGGGGGAGGGGGAGAGGAAGGGGGTGGTTTAGTATGTTGTTGATATGTTTGTGAATGTGGTTGGTGGGTACGGCGCGGGCTTCAGTAGCGGTGTCGTTGATGTGTTGTTCTATGTCGCTGTTGATTGGGCATTGCGCAGATTCATGTAAGATTTACGCGATGGATTGACATGATGTACGTAGTAATGCATGGTTATGAGATACCCCCTTCGATCTATCTCTTTGAGTATTGTACTTTACGTTGAGCTGGAGCACCAAATATAGTCGCAACATGATAATATCGTTGGAGAGGTTTGCACTTTGATGTTGTGTTGTGTCGAAGACGAGGTAGGTACGACGCTGGCGAACAGTACGTTAGACGCTCACGTCAGGTGACTTGGCGACACGCTAGGTAGATCCTTAGCGCGTCCGTCATCCATCCTTCAATACCATCAACACTCACGGACTCCACATACAATCCCACACCACCCACCATGTCCACGCAACCCGCTCCGCCACGCCCTTCCAACGACCACCGCCGCACCTCCGGCGCCCCAAAACGCCAATCCATCCTCCCAAAACCCTCTTCCATCTTTCTCGACACCACCGTCCTCATCGCCCAACACGCGCAAATCACCGGCACGCACCCCGTAACAATCGGTCCTAATACCGTCTTGCACCCTCATAGCAAACTCAGCAGCGCGGTCGCACCTGTTGTCCTCGGTGAGGGCTGTGTGGTCTTTGAACGCGCGAAAGTGGGTGTTGGTATGGGGAATGAGGGCGATGCGGAGGGAAAGAGAGGGAGTGTGGTATCTGCAAGGGGGAGTGCGGGTGTAAGGGAATCGATGAGGAGTGAGGGAACGGTGTTGGGTAGGAATGTGGTTGTTGATTCTGGGGCTGTTGTTGAGGCGGCGGAGGTGGGTGAGGGAAGTGTGGTTGAGGTTGGTGCTGTGCTGGGGAGGGGCAGTATCATCGGTAGGGTATGTGTACTTCCAAGTTTTGATCGCATTCGCGGAGGTCGGGGCTGATATGTTTGTAGTATTGCACTATATCGGCTTCTTCGGTTATACCACCTTATACCCGCTTGCCAGATTATACGGTTGTGTTCAGCGGGAGCCAACAAAGGGTTGATAGGACGCTGCAACTGAGACCGGAGATTCTGGAACAGAAGATGGCGGTGCATGCGAAGCAGCTGGATATGTTTAAGAAGCTTATTCCGAATAATATTGCGAAGTGGTCTTGAGGGGAGGACGTACTCGGGTCTCCGTGCCATCCTTCGGATTCCAGACAAGATGAGCTTCGACACAACGACTACGACCACGTATTTGCACAACCCCCAGCCTACAGCGACTTCAGGAGGTGGAATATCAGTTTGGGCAGTGGAAGCAGGGAATTTCTACGAGACTCGGTGCTGCCTGCCTTGGGAAAGCTTTGGGAAGCCATGGCAGAAGCCATAGCAGCAGGTTTTCACTCACAATGGGCCTCCGGGGAATATACAATATCTCCTGATTGTATATGTACGAAGCACCTCCACCGTCGTTCACGACAAGAACCACCACACCATTTAGCTCTACCGCCACTCGCATTCAACCAGATCAGCACCACGACTAACAATGCCTCTCTACACCTCCAAAGCAGCGTTCGTTGCTTCGGACATGAAGGCATGTCTCAGGCCGGCCTCCGAATCCTCCTGTCCTATCTGCAGCGAGGATCTGCAGCCTCCCGAGCCAGAAGCCTTATGCACAGGCCCCTCAGACGAAGCCGTACAGAACGGCACCACCACCCCTGACAGCTCCGCCGATAACCGTGATAACATAGTCACCGCCACCGCCCTCACCGTCGACGCCAACACCCTACTCGCTGAACCACCTGAGGACCGCTCGCCAGTCAAAGAAGACCACTCCCCCATCAAAGTCACCTGCTGCGCCAATATCTTCGGCCACAACTGTCTAGAAGCCTGGCTCACCAGGGAAAACAGCTGTCCATTCTGTCGCGCCGAATTCTTCCCCTCGCACACCGTACCCACCGGAATGATAGTCCCCATGCTTACTTTGGCCGTTGAGGAAGCGACAGTCCGAGCCACAGAGGCCGAGCAGGCGGCGAGAGCTGGATTCGCAGAGAGAATAGAGGCGACGGCATTTCGCGCTAGAATCACACATTTCGGGCGGTTGCACGCACATAGGGTGCTGAGGGAGGTAATGCTAGAGCGGGCGCTTGAAGTTCTGCAGCAGGAGGATGCGTCTGTGGAATTGGCGGAGCGGGATGACACTGAGGATGAGGACGAGTTGTCTTCTGAGTCCGATTCGGAGGATGAAAGCGGAGGTCATCGCTTTCCGTCAGGGTCTGTTCTGAGTGAAGATGCTGATGACGAGTCTGAGTTGGAGGATGAGGATGAGGATGAGGATGAGGATAGCGGTGATGAGGATAGCGGTGATGAGGACGGAGGGGGCGATGGACGCTCGGAAGGACCTGAATCTGAAGGTGCTATTCTTGTTGAGGGCGCTCATGCAGGTGCTTCAACGCGAGGCTAGAGTGCCATCGCTGGGACCATGAGTGTAAAGAAAAGTTCCGATAGGCCGGCAAAGATGACAAATCAATTCTTCCTCGTTGCGTTTCTTAGAATCATTCATAAATATCCATATCGATATAGCACTTGCTTCTACTATTTGCAGGCCCAGTATCTATAACACTTGCCCACAAACTTGCACATTCATCTCTATTAACATACTTAACAAACTATACCGCATCTCCCATTATTAACGTCACGACACTTCCCACTTCACCCTACTGCCACCGAAACGCATCCCCCGGAATAAAGAAATTCGCATCTTCAAACGTGATAACACGATCCATATCCAGGAAATGGCTATCCATAAACGCATCTGATAGATTAAGCAGAGACTGGTCCTGGACGCTATGTTGGTTTCCCGTCGCACCGGCATTTCCGTATGGAGCGAGAGAGGGGCCAGATGTAGGAACTCCGTTTCCGGGCTGTTGATACGGTAATGGGGTATGGCTCGGGTAAGAAGCTGGTACTTGTGGCGAAGCGTATATTGGAGTTGGTGGTTGTCTGGATGGTGATATCGCGTGTGCGGTTGGGAGGCGCGGGTGATGTTGCTCGTAGATGCTGGGAGAGGGCATGGTTATGTTGCGTATTGCGTCGGGCGGTGGGATGCGGCGTGGACTGAGGGTTGACTGCGAACTGGCGAAGCTGTTAGTGCGTCCGTGGCTCCTCATCAAAGAACGCTCGTGTGCGAGGCTTCTGGAGCGCGCTTGTGGTGTTGCCGCATAAGTCGGACTGGCGTAATTTTGTGGGTCGAGGGTCAGTCCATTGTGGTCGTAAAAGTCGAAGCGGAAATTCGCGTCGTTTTGACAGGCTTCGAGTAGCCGTTTAAGGTGGTTTGCGTATATTCCTGCTTGGTTGTTGAGTTTTGTGTTGTCTGTGTTATTCCCTTTCCATCTTGCGGCCATTTCCTCGAGATTATGGATCAGGCGGTGAAATTCTGATCGTAGAGGTTTGCGGGTGGCTTGGTGTTCGAAGAGTAATACTTTGGCGGCGATGAAGGCGCAGAATGAGAATTGAACGTTGACGAAGGGTATAGGCGTGTGAGTAAGGAACTTGTCGACGATGTTTGAAGTCTCTACGGCGGCGAGCTCGCAGGTCTGGGCACTGCATTCTTTTGGTAATGCGACGAAGTCGTTCCATCCACGGGGCGGGTATCCGATTGGGTGATGCAGTAGTATCATCGATGTATTATGCGTAATGTGTGCTAGTGTTAGATTAGGATCCATGTCGACTACAGTCCTGTCTGATGAGATATTGGAGTCCTTCCATCTAGGGGGCAGGAAGATTTTCCACTGCACGAGTCTCAAGTCTAGCTCCTTGAAGCGTGTCAGCCAACTGACTGCATGCTCCTTGTCTTGCCAGTTGATCCTTTGTTGAAGGAAGAATGTCGTCACTTGACTCAAACTCTCGGTTGCTTCGACGCAGTATGCGAATGCGCCTAGCTTAGAAGCATCAATGTAGCCGTTGGCGGAATTGGGGCTGGCTCCTGGGGGCAAGTGGTCGACTCCTGGGTCTTCTTCGTTGTATTGCGCGGGCACATTTGCTAGTGAGCGCCCGATGCGAGCAGCGGCCTTATTCCAGATACCGAAGTAGGGAGTGGTCACCGGCTCTTCTCTCGTGAAGAAACCGCCGTCTGCCGGTAACCGACGGTGCACATCATCTGCTGTGAGACTGGTGTTCCATCCTGTAGACACCGAACAATATCGATCGAGCAGAAATATGATCCAGAATAATCTTCGCCGCTCTTCCAACTCCGTCCAGTCGTTTGAGGGCTTCACCAAACGCACAGGCGTCATAAGTGACCCTGACTGTGATGTCGATGGCTCGGTAGTAAGTTGCAGGTAGTCTATAGTCCTCGTGAGCGATCCTATCAGCGGCCATGCTCTCTGCGTTTGGCCATCATTGAGAAGATCAAAAACTAGAAAGATGAGGGCCTGCAAGCTTTCAATAGTGACATTACGCATCGCATGCGTTTCCACAATCATCCGGGACACCCTCGTCTGCTGAAGAATCTGATCGTTGTCCAGGTATAGTACGTTGGGGTCCATATGTCGCAGAGCAACGGCGACTAAAGCGTGAAGGACCAGCACGTGGCCTGGATCCTGACAACCTTGGCGCACTCGTGTTTGGAGTCTCGCCTTATGGATATATGGGATCCAATGATGGAACGAGATGCAGAAGAAGTCTGCAACCTTCTCGAGCAGTGGTTGAGACGGCAGGTGCTGCGCGATATCAACATCTTCAAAAGGGAAAAGCCAACTCTCAGCAATTGGCACTTCGAATCTTCTTTTCAACGGATTGGACACCCTGTTCTCTTCTTCGGAGCCTCTGGATCCATCCTCTGCGGATTGTTGGATGTGGCCATAATCAGGAGTAGGCGCGGTACACGGCGCGTGTTCCTCAACGCGAGGTGCGCATTCCTTTACAACATTGGGGCTTTCATGCGCGACGGCACGGCCATTCGTCGTGGTATCGTCATCTCTATACCGTGGCAGTACATTTCCCGCGTCATCTAGGAGTATCCTCTCCAGAAAAGCTACCGAGCGTGAGATTGAGTTCATCGTGGAGGATTACCACATACCGACGCGGCGGGTCAACGCCTCAACAGCTCCGGGCTTAAGCCCAGGTTTGTTCTTTGGCTGATAAACACATTCAGAGGCTATAGCACATATTAGCGACGCAAGATAGCGACGCGAAACAACGCCAATCGACAGAAAAACTCACACAGCCTCAAGCAATGCGAGCACGAGGGTGTCTCGCGCGAACATCGCAGCTTGCGTTGCTTGCAGCTAACGCACGCGGGAGTGTCACCTCCCACCGAGACGGGACCGTCGTCCTCGCCTGCCTGGCTGCCATTGCCAACCGAGTAATTGGTCCACCCAGCCGACATCAGCACGACATCGCAAAAGCGCTGATTAAGAAGAAGCAAATGTGGAGGATGCAGCGAGCGGCGGGCATCGGGATAAATCGATATTACTCCACACGCGGGCCCCGCGCGGTCTAACCCTCCTTTCGGCTGATCACGATCACTCCACCCCGGAAGCCATCCGAGTTTATCAATACGGGACGGGAGCCTATGGCGATACGCGATTTCGATGTACATTCCGGATGCGCTACCTATTGAAGTTTGGATGCAAAGAGGTACACGTCTTTTGCATCGACTGGTGCCGCCCAGGGCGGGTCACACCATAGGACCACCAGACTCACGAGACTATGGAACATGTAGAGCCATTATCGCTCGTCCGCCTTTCGAAAGAACTGTTGGGGTTCGTATCACGCGACAGAGGCTCCTGATAACGCCCAGAACACCATGCCTCCGCTAGACGGCTTCTCAAACAACCCGTTCAAAACCCACGCCGACTTTAAAACCGCATCAATAGCACTCCTTCGCGCATTGAAGCCATACCAATCACCCCATGGCGCAAGAATCAAACTCCCGTTATCAACCGGTACCCATTTCGACGATGTCGCCGCCCAGCTTGAGGGATACGCTCGGCCGCTCTGGGCAGTCGGCGCGCTGATGCACTCGAATGTCGTATCCAAAGACGAGTACGAAGAGCTCATCAAACCTTACGCAATAGGCCTGGCTAACGGTACCAATCCACATCACGAAGAGTACTGGGGCCCAGTCGTACTACGCGATCAAAGAATGGTGGAAATGGAGATTATTTCGTTCGCCCTACTATCAGCTCCAGATACCATGTTTCATTCGCAGACCGAAGAAGCGAAGAGGAATATTACGCAGTGGCTAGGAACTATCAACGGAAAAGACTTCCCCACGACGAATTGGCTCTGGTTCCGCGTTATGACTAACCTAGCGTTGATCAAAGTATGTGGTGTGCCCAAAGAAAATGTACTAGATGCGATGAAAGCGGATTTGGATCTTATGGAGCAGTTTTACCGAGGATGTGGCTGGGCAGCAGATGGTATCTGGAGCAATGAGGGACGACAAGCAGATTACTATTCCGGCAGCTTTGCAATTCAATTTTCGCAGCTCATATATGCGAAGATGGCACAGGATTTGGATCCAGAGCGGTGCGAGAGGTTCCGGGGTAGAGCGAAGGCATTTGCAGTGTCTTTCTGGCGGTACTTTGACACGAATGGTATGTTTACTACCTATCCCGAGTTCCCGTCACTGACTGACGCACTCTAGGTGCCGCTATACCCTTTGGGCGCAGTCTGACATACCGTTTCGCCTTCACTGGATTCTGGTCCGCCGTTGCTTTCGCGGAGGTCGAGCTCCCGGAACTACTCAACGACTGGGGTGTGATCAAAGGTCTTTTACTTCGGCATTTCCGCTGGTGGAGCAGTAAACACGACATGTTCAACATCGACGGCACGTTGACGATCGGCTTCTCTTATCCCAACATGTACATGAGCGAAGACTACAACAGCCCGCAGTCTCCTTACTGGGCCATGAAATCTTTCCTAGCGCTAGGACTGCGGGAAGACCACCCGTTTTGGACTGCGGAGGAAAAGCCTTTACCTAGCACGGAAGTGGCAGTGGCGCCAGTCAAACCGGCTATGCATATCCTCTGCAACCAGCGAAACCACCATTTCCTCCTCTCCATGGGCCAGTTCTGTCCTTGGCCACTCAAAGCCACAGAAGCCAAGTATGGAAAATACGCTTATTCATCGCACTTTGGTTTCAGTGTGCCTACTGGCACTTTAACACAGCAAATCGCACCAGACAGTACACTCGCAGTGAGTAAAGACTGCGGCGAGACATGGCGGGTACCATGGAAGGTTACGAACCATCGTTTTGCTACTGCACAACTGATGCGCAGTGACGAGTTTGTAGAGGATGTACCTTGTTTGACGAGCACATGGAAGCCCTGGGCCGACGCCGATATCACGGTGCAAACATACATCGTCGCTCCTTGCTCGCGCTGGCCAGATTGGTACCTCCGCTGGCACCGCTTCATCAACAATGGGTCCAGTACAGTCAATATCCAGGCCGTTCAAGGTGGCTTTGCGATTCAAGGTCGCGGCGATAAGCTCGGGGAAACCTTACCAACACACGCACATAGCTCTGAAATGCCCCACGAAGCAAGCCGAAACAACGCATCTTTCCCCCAAGGCACAGTAACGACTAAGAACTCAACACTCATCTGCTCAAACGCCGGCGCCAGCGGCATCGCTGCCCTCAATGCACACAGCACCGACCATTCAACAGAAGGATCGTATGCGGAAGTCCTGAAACCAGACGCGAATACGAATTTGATGTGGCAGCGCACACTCATTCCCACTATTAGGAACGAATTAGGTATACCGCCAAGTGCGACAGGGCAGTCGTCTTTTGAGTTTGGCTGCGCAGTGTTTGCTCTGGCTAGGACGAGTGATAGAGAGGAGCGGTACGCGGGGTTGGAGTATGGTGAGTTGTGGGGTGATGTACCTGTGTTGGATACCGGGAAAGGGAAGGAGAGGGACGGGGAATGGTATATTAAGCTTGAATAGATATGCGACAGGCTAACAAAGGAATGTGATATCATCCATGATCAGCTAGCTCAGCAGCACATAGAAAGGCTGTGTAATTGTAACATAATTTGAATCATGAACTTGGGTGAAGATTATGAGGAACGGAAGTATTAAAGCGCAAAACACCACCATGCCTGTGTTCGAGCAGCACACAAAAACATATCTCAACACAGTACACGTTCATACCACACAACCATCATTTGAAAACATATTCTAGTATTCAACCTAGCAAAAAAAGACCCGCAAGCCAAGCTAATCGTGCAAATGTGATAATCGGTATATCTTCCTCCATTCCCCAATCCGATTCAAATAGGCGCCCAGACATTTCAAATCTGTCCGTTATAGCTAGAGAACACACAGATAGTACAAGCAGGTCATGATCTTGCCAATCCGCATCATAGATGTGCAGAGGGTGGATTTTTTGTAAATGACAAAAAGTCAATATAAAAAGACCACGTATAGCCTCCTAGCTTGCGCTGAGGTCCAAGACACCGGGTAACGCCAACATGATTGATTAGCAAAAGGTGGCTGCTATGCCGCGAAGGATGAGTTTGATGAGTGGGTTTGGTATGTCTACCTCTTCCTCACGCAGAAGAAGAGACCAGTGCGACCAAGGAACCACAGACATCCGGCGAAACGGACAATGGCGAGCGCAGCGGTAGCCCACAGAAGGGCCTGGAAGAAATGCGCGGTTCTGCCAGAGGCGCTTGACTGTTATTGAATTAGTAAAAAGTTGCGAGGAGGACACCAGATAACTTACAGAGAAACCGAAGCGGTCAAAGTTGTCTTGGGTAATGACAACCGCGAGTGTGGCGTTGGAACCAATCCAGGCTGTGCACAAATGGGTACGGAAAGACTTGTAAGAGTCCTCCAGAGTCTTCTCGTCGCTCTCGACAGGTGGTACGTAAGGAGCGAGAGCGCGCTTGACTGTGGCCTCGAACTGGCTGTCAATATCGGCTTGCGGCAGATCCGGCTCCTCAATAACGTTGTGCTTGCCGTCGGCTCCCTTCTCCGTCTTCGCCGAGGGAAGCGCATCTGCTTTGTCGGAACCCTTGGTACCCCAGGAAACATCATGCCAGTTGGAGAAGGCGTAGACGTTGAGGATGTTGACGTAGGAAGACATGATGAGCAGATACTGAGGGAATGAGGTGAACATGTGCCATGGGTCCATGTAGAGGAACGAGGCGACGTAGTAGAGACCGAAGGTAGCCGCAAGAGCGATAATGATAATACCGACACCGCTCGACGAGAAGAAGGACGAGGCGAATGCTTCCGGCGATGAGGTGTCGAGTTTCTGCGAGGACGGGTTCGTGAAAGCCTGGACAACGAGGTAGATGGACAGGATGACAATGTAGAACTGGATGAGACCGAAGACGCAGAAAGAGACCAGGTAAGACCACTTGGAACCCTTTGGACGATTACCAAAGGCCAGAATGAACTGTAGGACCAGGAATGCGAGGTAGAGATAGGTGACGATGACGTTGAAGATGGGCGTGACAGTGTTTCCGAAGGGCCAGGCGTCTCGGGTATCGGTTTTGGTGCCGACAAGACTCATGATAACGACGGTAGTAAGCCAGAAGGAAGCCAGGGAGAACCAGGCCATGATGGTCTGGAAGACGTTGTACAGCATTTGAATATGCAGGAAGAACATGCGGACGAGGTTGTGGCCACTCTTGTACATGCGGCCGAAATGGAGCAAGGAGTAGATACCGGCAGCGAAGGAACCGTTCAACCAACGACGACGCTGACCGATGAACTCGGCAGCACCCTCAGGCACATCGGTTTCACCCTTGGAGGCCTTGATGTAGGTGAGATGCCACTTGGATCCAGCCTTGGCGACAAGCTCGAAACACAGAATACGATCTTCGGCCAAGAACATGTTCTTCTTGAAAATGTTCATGCCCTCGATACCCTTCTTTCCGAGGATCTTGGCGAGTGTGTGGTCACCGTGGAAGTACTGCTCGAGCGGTCGGCCCATGATAGCACGGTATCGGTAGGCCGAGAAAGCACCAGGCAACACAGAGACGTATCCGAAGGAGGATTCCAGCGGCTTGTCGAGAATGTTACTGATCTTGTACTCGAAGTTCTGGGCGGCTACAAGCGGGTTGAGGAGGTTCTTCCAGCCCTTACCCAACATAGCGTGAATCTCACCGCAAGCACCACCGAGGTCCTTGTCGTTGTAGAAACCTTCCCAGAGGGCGAGGAGGGACTTGGGACCGGGCTTTGTACCAGCATCGAGCAGAATGCAGACTTCGGGGTTCAGAATGCGACCGATAGCAGTGAAGAGCCATCTGTGGGAGTTGATCTTCTTGCTGTTCTTCTGCTTCAAGCAGAACATCATCTGGACTGGGGGAAGTGTGCTGGCGCTGTCATCGTGAGGGCGAATGAGCTGCTGGTTGGGCGTAACGGAAAGTTGCGTGGTGTATTCGAACTGAGTTGTTAGCGAATTACGAATAGACTAGCATTTGATCAATACTTACGATATGAGCAACGGTCTCGTTTCCGTCAATGTCCTTCTTCATGACACCGTCCTGGTAGATACCGACAGTGGCGAGCAGGTCGAGAGTGCCCTTGTCGCAGGGGTCAATACCGTCGAAAACCAAGCACACGACGATCTTCTGCCAGGCTGGACCGCCCTTGTTCCAGAACTCGGACTTCTTCAGGTTGACAATGTCGCGGATGTTCTGCATGACACCGTGCAGAGTGCGAGCAGTGAGAACCTTGTCTTCGTTGTAGTAGGTAATGGCAATGAGCAGCTCGGTGTGGCGGTTGTACATGGCCGGACGCAGGTTGTAACCGTTCTTGAGGGTGAAGTCGTTGGGGTCGCATGTCGCAGCAGTGTCTAGCGGCTGTCAGACCTGAATGGGAAATACAAAACGTGGGACTTACAGCGCATGTGGGTGAACTCCTCGCTACCGCTCTCAAGGTCGTTGCGGTACTTGGCCTGGATGGCGTTCTGGATGGCAGAGGGGACGGGGTAGTCGGCACTCAGAACGGAGCCCTGGACAAGCTTGACCTTACGGGTCATACCACGCTTGAGACCGCCAGCGGCACCTCCGCCGGGCTGCTGTCGCTGCCTCCATGCTTCGGTTGAGCTGGTCTCGCTCCTCTGGTATGGTGATGGGGCTCGCTGGGGAGCACCGAAGTCGCCCTGCGCGTCGTAGCCACCGGACGCTGAGTAAGAAGTGCCGGCGTGGGCCTCGCCAGGGTATTGTGTTGGCTTGTCGGTCGCGTAGGACTCGGTCAAGCTGTAGGTGGAGTGCGGGCGGACCTCAGGGTTACCGTAGAAAGGGTCCGGGTGGGCGCCGGTAGGGTTCTCGTGCAGCAGCGAGCGGCCTACCTCCTCCTCATCGTGGGTGCGGTCGTACTGCGGACGCTGTCAGTATGTCGTGCCTTCCTCCATATCATCAGGGGCGCCTACGCCGGTGTTCGGGTCTCCAAGGTTATAACCTTGGTTATTGTTGTACGCCATGACGTGCTGCAGTCCACGGGCCGGCGCTGCAGATGGCGGTGTTGAAGGGAAAAAGGAACAGGCGGTAGGGGTATCAACGGTTGAGATAGAAGAAAGTCGGCAGCGCACAACTCGGGGTGTCGCTTGATAAAGGTGGATGGAATGTCTGGGGCGCTTCAGGCCTGAGAAAGCTGAAGGGACGCGCGCTAAACCCCTTGTGGTGGGATGGGGGAAGGTGCGCTAGGAAAACCGCCGTCTCTGAAACACGGCTTAGCCAGCTTCTATTCGTCGTCACCGTGTAAGCTGCGCGTTTCGGATGCAGCTGGGCACTCCTTTAACAAGAATGCATTCGTGGAGACGCTTCAAGAACCGGCGATCGCTCCTACTTGAATTCCACGGCAACCGCAAAACCTGCTGGCGGTGAAGCACACGACCGAAGCACATGAAGTCTCCGTCGTCTGTCAGTGTGGCGCTAGCCGGCCACGACCTCTAAAATTAGACGGGCCCTGGACGCTTGCTTGCTCAGCCTCACCAAAGTCTACCAACATCGCTATTGCCGGCATACTATGATACTATCATGTAGACTGCCTGACTCGCCTGGCGCAGACTACTCCTACGACGTGCATACAACGCCCGTTGCCGTCGAGTGGCTGATATGTTCAAAATCTCCTATGCGTGGCTGCGCGTCCTTGTGTCAAGCTAGGGGTCGCACGGTCGACGTCAGCCAGCTTTCAAGGTTGCTCCGCAGGCGGATCCACTCAGAGAGATCTCCTAGTTCTCTGCAAAGGGTTACATGCATTGCTGCTGTAACCTAGCCGTCCAACTTGTATACGAACCCGTAGTCGGGGCGATTGATTTTAAAATAGGGCCGTTCCTATACCACCATTACAAACTTCGCCACGTCGTTTTTGCCTGCCGTTTTGCCTGCGTTATTGCAGTGCTGCGTTTGGCTGCTGGGTTCGCGTGATGGCGGTGCGGTGACAGGGTCCAGCCCTGTGTTGAGGTCTCCTATCCGCTGCTGTGGGCCGCCGTTGGAAAGCTGTTCCTGGACCCAGGACCCTTCATCTCTGCTGGGTCTCACATCTCAACCGCCACATACTCGATCTCGCTGACAGCTTGGCATCGGCGTCTGTACCACATATGTTCAGAGACAACGTCGGAAAGTCAATCTCCCACAGCAATCCTTGTTGCGATACAAGCCTGCGTTATTGACGTTCTCGAAAAGGTGCACAACAAGATGCATAGAGCAGGTTGGCCTATGCTGAGCAACAGTCTGCGCGCTTGCCCGTGTTATCACGTGCTACAGCCGCCTCTGACATCCACGGATACCTCCAGGGCTAGGGAGTTCTTTCCAACCCAGGTAGCGACATAAAAACATCCTCTCTCAAATCGCTTCTTTGGCAGCGAAGATGGCGAACGCTCCTGCCTTCTTGCACCTTATCGCGCGGGGAGCAGCAGGCCGCACCTTCCGTCACCAGCGCCTCAACAAAACGAAAACTTGCATTCTCCATGCCCAGTTGTGCACCCGCACCATTCCTGTAGTCTTTCCTCGTGCTCGAAAAACAACACCTTATTCCTTCCCCCGCTTGGCTGGCGTCATACCCGCAGGTACTGCCCCGCATCAGAGTACTAGTTACGATAGTTGTCACTACAACAGTTGAACCTCTTGTTCGCTAATCACCTAGGAAGCTTTACACACTTCCTCCTCGACCCGCATATCCACTAAGCGGTACGAGCCGCCATGGCCTCAGCCGCACCATTAGTAGATCTGCCCAAATCCAAGTCTGGTGCTTCACCACCATCCACGGCGACCACGTCTCCAATAGCTGAGGGTCACGACAATACGACTCAATGGCGAACACCTGAGAATCCGAACTTTGTACATCCTGATCACGCAATACCGTCACCAAGCTATCCTAGCGCGGAGAATCTCATCATCGTTTGCTGCCACGCCATCTTCCTTCCGAATGCAGATGAGCCCAACTTCCCATTGTGTAGTCCTCATTATGAGCCCCATTGGCTGCTAGCGCCTTTTCAAAAGTCAGACGAAGCGACAGGCAAGCCAGGCGAGCATGAGACGTTCTTGGCCCATATCAAAGCTGGTATCGATGCCTTGACTGTCGGAACAGACGCAGAGCATCCTCCTTCGAGCATTCTTGTCCTCAGTGGCGGTGCTACTAAACGAGCGGAATCTTTGAAAACTGAGGCACGCTCATACTACCATGCAGCGCTCGCAGAAGAGTTAGCAGAAGGTCATAGGGGTGGAGGACGAACTCATAGGTACGTTTTAAAACAACACTCGCAATGCCAAATCGCGTCATTGGACGTGCTGGTGAATGAACCAGATGCAAACAGCAAGACTTATTTCCAGACCGTATTCTAACCATGTACACAGATTGTACAACAAGGGCTATATATTACTGGAAGAACAAGCGACCGATTCATTCCAGAATCTGCTGTTCAGCATCCTCCTTTTCAGGAAGGCCACTGGCAACTATCCGAAACAGATTCGGGTAATCACGCATGCTTTCAAGTCGAAGCGTTTCCTCGAACTGCATGCTCCGACTATACGATGGCCGAAAGAACGTATCCTGGTGCAGGGCATAGATCCACCGATGGCGAATGACGCATTACAGAGCACGCTTCGTGGGGAAGAAGAGAACGGATATGCGGCATGGGAGAATGACCCTATGGGTACCGGAGATCTTCTAGGTGGGAAGAGGCAGTTACGCGGATGTGATGATAGCAAAGCAGCTCAGCACTTCAAAGATTTGGAAGACAGTGTCAAGGAGTTGTTTCAGGGCACCGTATCTGACGAGCTGCCGTGGATAAGCTAGACCAACAAAGGCTCGGACTTGCGCGCTGTCTGATATCCTACTATGCTATCGAAGTGTCTTGTTTGGTCGCCCGCAAAGCACCACGTCTTCTCCGAGTGGAATCCATTTTGTTTCTTTCAATCTTGTGACGGGCAGTCGTTCCGAGCCACCATCGGGACAGACTTGTACACCGCCTCTTCCTAGCCATGTAGGAGCAATTGTAATGATAACAGAGTCGACTAGGGAATAGGCGGGGCCAGGTCCTAGCATATCATTGATGACAAAACCGCCACCTTCAATCATCACACTCTTTATACCTCGGTGCGCCAGAGCATCGAGAATGATATGCCACGACGAACTAGCTGCAGCAATGTCCTCCGGAGAAAGTTGCCGAATCAAATACTCGCCACCTACGCCTTCAAGTATCTTTCGTTGAGTATTGGACGGCTCCACGCAGGTCACAATATAAGGTGCCTTCCCCTTGCCCTCCTTGGCTAATCTCATAACTTTGCTCTCTTCGCGAAACTGCCAGCGCCCGTGAGGATCAACGACGACTGGTCTTGGTTGCCCCACGAGCCCTTGTCCACCATAGCCACCTACGCCCTCGATTCGGCAGTTTAGCGATGGGTTGTCGGCAATAGCTGTCCCAGCTCCGATCAGAATAGCATCGTGTCTTGATCTCAGGAAATGGGTCATGGCCTTGGATTGCGGGCCAGATAACGCTGTCTGCACACCTGGTGCGATGGCTAGTTGGCTGTCGAGAGAAGTAGCGAAAGTCAATGTGACGAAGGGCTTAGAAACGTGTTCGTGAGCTGGGGGCGATGTAGGCGAGTCATGAGGTAGATAGCCTTCTATGTGCTGGCTATCGGAACCTGGAAAGTGTAACGCGTCTCGTACAGGAGCCGTCATGGCTGCTGTGACTATGTTCCGCCTGTACCTGCGAGTATCGTGAGTTTGTAGATGGATGCTGAGAACCATGAATGACTAAGCCGTAAAGTGGGCATCACCGAGAAACCGTGGTTGGGACCCCACGTCGCAGCACGGACGCCCGAGGATCGTGGCAGCCTGCCCAACTGTCCCTCACTCTCGCGTATAATATCCATAGGCCTTCTTTTGTTTGGCGTTTGTACTTTCGCAGGCTTTCGCACTCGTCGCCTTTTCTACTAGCCTCTCCCTATTACCCAACCGCCACCTAGTCCTCTTCCTCTCGCCGTTTGCCCCGCGACCCTCACGCGCGCGCTTTCCAGCACACAAACGCGGTTGTATCTATACAGGCAATAGCCCAGACGCCGCATAAAATACCGCCAAGATGATGAAAATATGGTCTATGGTAGGCTTCTACAAGACTGGTGTCGCATGGCATAGCAAGACGGCTGACGATCCTGTAGAAGAAACAGCAGCAGCAGGATGAGGCTGCACAAGCTGCCTCGAGTAAGAAGAAGAAGGTCACCCCAGCCCAGCTGCGAACACAGAAAGGTACGGTTATCTTTCGGCTACATACGATATCCCTCGCAAAGCTAATGCGACACAGATCTCGAGGAACTATCTCTCGGCACAACGATGAAGACGCACTTCCCCAACCCCGACGATATCCTCAACTTCGAGCTCACAATCGATCCTGACGAGGGAATGTACAAAGGTGGACGCTTCAGGTTCGACTTCAAGATCAATCAGAACTTCCCCCACGACCCGCCAAAAGTCAAGTGCACACAGAAGATCTACCACCCGAACATCGATCTGGAGGGAAACGTATGCCTGAATATTCTGCGAGAGGACTGGAAACCAGTATTGAACTTGAATGCGGTCGTTGTTGGTCTGCAGGTATGTTCTACGGATTCTTGGACATATGGACGGTACGTTGACAGATCACAGTTTCTCTTCCTCGAGCCGAACGCGTCCGACCCGCTGAACAAAGAGGCCGCCGAAGATCTCAAGCAGAACCGCGAGGGCTTCAAGCGCAACGTGCGCGCATCGCTCGGCGGCGGCACAGTCAAGGGACAGAACTTTGATCGCGTGCTCAAATGAGCTTTACGGCATAGAATCAGAACAACACAAACTTTCACGCAGCAGTCCTTCGAAATGCCCCTCCACGGACGGATGCGTCACAATGACATGAGACCGAGCCACGGACTCACTACAGGACAGGGTTGATGCATAGGAGAAGATTGGAGGTGAACATGTCAACACATTAGCGACTGCATGTATAGTCTGGCGCATCATGTAGAGGGTGCATGGGTATCATATGGGCGCAATATAGTCTTCTAAGATCTCATACAATATGACTGCACATTTGCACACAAAGATGACTTTACCCGTTCGTGATACTTTACTGTGACTGCGATGTTTGCTTGAACATTGCGTCACCGCCAGGCCGAATCTGTAGCCGTCTACTCAGACTGTGAGAGCTATACGCAAACCGTACTGCGCAATGTTACCTCGTAGTAAATAGGCCCGCTCAGACTACGGTCAATCTCACCAAGTCATCAGCCGCCACGCACTATCCACTATGACTGGGTCCAGCGATGCCTCATATCATCAGAACCGCTCTCGGAGACACGCATTCCTCCCCGACGACCCTCTGGGTCCCCTGCTAGCACTATGACAGCGTGTGGTGATTGGCCGAAGACGCGAACGGTCGGTCTGGGGCAGCGATAATCGGCCTGGTCCAAGCTCCCCAACTCGAAATTCTGGGTGGGTTGACGATCGAGCCCAGCGTCTTTAAAAGCTGATATCCCCGCGAAATAACTCTGACCCCAAGATACCCCTTTCACACACATTCACAATGGCTTCAAGACCTGTTACCCGCGCTCTGCGCCAGACCGCCCGCCAATTGGCTTCCACTCCCGCTCAGAAGCGCACTTTTGTGTCTGCTCTGAGTGCTGGTGCTAAGAAGGCTGCTCCCCGCGCGGCTGTCACAAGCCAGTTCCAGCAGACCCGTGGTGTCAAGACCATTGACTTTGCCGGTACCAAGGAGACTGTCTACGGTGAGTTTGACCATTCTCGATGCGTCAAGACCAAAGCTGACAACAAACAGAGCGTGATGACTGGCCAAAGGAGAAGCTTCTTGAGTACTTCAAGAACGACACCATGGCCATGATTGGCTACGGATCCCAGGGTCACGGCCAGGGTCTCAACATGCGCGACAACGGCCTCAACGTCATTGTTGGTGTACGGAAGAACGGTGCTTCGTGGAAGGAAGCCGAGGCCGATGGCTGGGTTCCCGGAAAGAACCTGTTCGACATCGACGAGGCTATTGGCAAGGCCACCATTGTCATGAACCTCCTCTCAGATGCCGCTCAGTCTGAGACTTGGCCCGCCATCAAGCCCCAGCTCAAGGGCAAGGTAAGCAATACTCATCAATTTTTCAAGAATTGGAACTAACAAAACCAGACTCTCTACTTCTCCCACGGTTTCTCCCCCGTCTTCAAGGACCTCACCAAGGTCGAAGTCCCCACCGACATCGACGTCATCCTCGTCGCCCCCAAGGGCTCCGGCCGCACTGTCCGCACCCTCTTCCGCGAGGGCCGTGGTATCAACTCGTCCATCGCCGTCTTCCAAGACGTGACCGGCAAGGCCAAGGAGAAGGCCGTCGCCCTCGGTGTTGCCGTCGGTTCCGGATACATGTACGAGACCACCTTCGAGAAGGAGGTCTACTCCGACCTGTACGGCGAGCGTGGCTGCCTGATGGGCGGAATCCACGGCATGTTCCTCGCGCAATACGAGGTTCTCCGCGAGCGCGGCCACAGCCCCTCCGAAGCCTTCAACGAGACCGTCGAGGAAGCCACCCAGTCTCTGTACCCCTTGATCGGCGCCAACGGCATGGACTACATGTACGCCGCCTGCTCCACCACCGCCCGCCGCGGTGCCATCGACTGGAGCAAGCGCTTCAAGGCCGCCCTCAAGCCCGTCTTCGACGACCTCTACACCTCCGTCGAGAACGGCAGCGAGACCAAGCGCTCCCTCGAGTACAACAGCCAGCCTGACTACCGTGAGAAGTACAACGCCGAGCTCAAGGAGATTGACGACCTTGAGATCTGGCGCGCCGGAAAGGCTGTCCGCTCCCTCCGTCCTGAGAACGCCAAGTAAATTGCGTCGAGGAGAGGTCGAGCTTGGATAGTAAGGAAGATTAAAATGTGTAGATAATGTCATGTCTTTTGTTACGATTAGGGATGTTATGGCGTTGGCGCGCTTGGTTGCTATGTACGCCTTTATGCTGCATTGGTGGCGGTCAAAAAGAACCTTGGAAGAAGAGACAAGGAAGGGAAGAGCGCAAAAGCGAAATGAATACCTTTCCATGACAATAACTGTTCTATTTCATGCATCCTCTTGCGGTATATAGTTTCCTGGCCTGAAGACATTGCATCTCGTTACAGACATCTCACACTAAAGTGTATCCATCCATGTATCCAACTTACCATACGTATCCGTCATACTTTTACTTCTCTACCCCAACCTAATTCTTCCTTATCTTCTGTCATATCACTCTTTACTGCTTTCACTTCCATTCCTGTTCGAAACCGGCGGCGCTAACCTCGTAAAAGCCTTGGACCGCGCATAAGTCGTCCAAAGCCTCCCTTCCAAGTCTAAGAGTAATCCAGGTTTGCACCTCGTTGCTGGAAATGCAGGGGTACTGCATCTAGGAGACGATGTTGAAGTTGATGAGGTTGGGGAGGGAGGTGAGGTCGTCAATGAAGTCGTGGATTGGGGTGAGCCTGGTCGTATTGAGGCTGATGTGGTTGTGGATGTGGACGTGAGAATAGACGAGGTGGAGGTTCGGCGAACTATCTTGGTTGTGGTGATATATTGCGCGTGGTCGCGGAGGAGAGTGTGGAAGTATGGGATTTGATGGGGTTGGGCTGGTGTGTACATATTGTTTTGCGAAGATGTTTTGGATGGTAGCCGTTGCGAAGGTAGTTGTTGTGATAGTGCTTGATGGGTTGGTAGTCGTACGGATGGTAGGTCAATCGTTGGTCTGTACGCAGGACTCAAGTCGCAGATGCTATGAGTTATAAAGGAAAAGTGAGATCAAAGTTTACCTTTCGATATCTATGAACTTCAATGATTCAATTACTATATCCAGTGTGAGCTGAACTATGGTCTGGGGCAGTGAATCGGCATACATTGGTATAGCGTACCATGGTTCGTTTACAATCTTCTCCTGCTCAACTCAACCCAATCCAAACACCCTATCACGACTCCTTAAACCTGGCAGTCATATCCCATTCAAATACAGTTGTTCTCCAACTTCCCCAGCCGACGTCGAATGTGAACTGGCTACGGTAGCCTGGTTCCTCTGGTTCCGTGTCTTCTACGATGGGCTGCTCTAAGGTAGGTTGCTCTACGACAGGCTCTGCGACAGGGTATTCGACAACCTTCCAATCTTCTCTGATATTCGTATCGTCTACTTTCTCATTGTCATGGTTTGGTTTCGATGGGATCGCATCAGGCACTGATGTGGTGCGTTAGTCACCGTAGAGCAGTTAGTCTGTTGATGGGGAGGCGCACCATGTTCTTTATTGCCTGGACGGGATCTGAGTATGGGCTTACCGCATATGTTTACACTGTAAGATCATGACGATTCGCGATGGTAGGTGCCGCCTGTCTGTGCTATTTTGAGATGACTGTTTCGCACGCAGACTGACGCTGATGCGCTATGGAAATGATGTTTGCAAAAAGGCTTCTCAAGGTTGTGGCGTTTCGCACAGGTGTTGGATTGTGGAATTTTCTGGGTCTCATACCAATCCGTCTGCTGACGGCCATAGTGGTTGCCTGAAATGGCTACGCCACGTCTTGATACTGCGGGGTGCTGGAAGAGGGAAAGATCTATTAGAATTCCCGGATGTGACGGCTTTTCGAAGGATGCGAAGATCTGTAGTCCCCGGTCGAATTAGAACATGGCTCTTACTTCGACCTTAGGTCTAGAGAGATGCTGCTGCATATGAAGTAAATTTCGCAGTAACTGATGAGATTATTAGAACGGGAGTTGCTAGCAAGGAGTGTCCTTTCTTCCACGTCGTGCTGAAGACAGCGACCAAGAGATCAGGGTGAAGTTGGGAAGTTTCCTGTTTTGACGAATAGATTTCCTAAGGAACAGCCCTTCGCGACATCGTCTTCTTTTTAAGTCGGCTTGTTCTCGTCTTCCGAACCTCTTCAAAGGGAAATGGACTCCTGCGGGGATGTAAGAGACGAGCCTGGGTCATAAGGCGTGAACCATTCTAAGCGACGCGTCTACGACTTGAACTTCGGAAGTGGCAAAGTAGAAGGGCCTCGCGAAATTGCAATCGATGAGTCGCGGCACGGAGACAAGATAAGGAAAGTAGACATCTGCGTCGGTCGAAAGTTGAAGCGAGGCCAAGTGGCTGAGAGAACAAGCACTGCTTGGCTTCTCCTGCCTGACGCAACGACACATTGCTCCTCGGAACCCCTTGCATCAAGCAAGACTGCGACATTACCCAACAGCGCTCAGGTATCGTAACGTGCAGTATACCCATTACCCAGGACAAAACAGAAATAACGTAGAAGCAAACATTGAATGCTTCGTGCGTTCGCATGCTTTTGATGCACCCGAACTCGTCCAACGCCCACGCACCAGCAACTCTCCGCTCCCCGCGGGCACCTAGCGCCTCCACAAATCGCATGGCGGATGTACCAGATCGTGCATCGATCAAGGAGGCGTCGAATCACTCTCGGCTTGGATGCGAGGCTAAAGTCCGATTTACCGATCTGGGGATCTAACATCAACATGACATCACCACTTCAACATTGAACTATCGACGTGTCGCAAACATGAGGCACGTAACAAGTGCGTGCGCGCAGCGAAGCGCTCTAGTTAACTGTCACTGGGAACTATGTTATAGAACTGTCCCTCCGTTCGGATCCCCCACAACGCCCGCAACCTTCGCGGATAGTCCCTTGAGACCGTCGCAAACGGCTTCCTTTAGCCGTCTTTGTTTGTTGTCGACTACTGGATAGTGGTGGGTTTCATAGTAGTCTCACGACGAATACTACTTCTTGTTAGCCTTTTTTTTTTAGGCTTCGTGGACTTTCGCGATGGCTTCCAACGAGGCAGGAGCGTTCCAGGGTTCCGATCAGCAATACCCACAAGACGCGTTGCAACAACAGTCACATGTCACATCGGACGCGTCTGTTACCAACAACGAATCGAGCACACACAACACCTTCATCTCCAACGTCTTACATACCAGTAGTCGGAGCTACTACGGTGGAGAAGGCTCAGGGCTATTCTCAGCTTCAAGCAATTCCACGGCGGTACCATCGCCAGATGTTCGATCTTCCCAAGATGCCGCAGTACAACATTCAGCTTCCGAACATGTGTCCAAAGATGAATCTGCGACTCAGACTATTCCAAGCAACGACTATTTGCAGAAGACGACATCAGGAGGTCCAGTTGAGGAGCACGTCGTTCTCCACGACGATTCCTCAGACTCAGAGCATGAAGCAGATGAGCCGTCGGCGAAGCGTGTCGAAACAGCCAAGAGGCCCGGCCTACAATCGAAAAACTCGAAACCTATGACCGAAGACGACCTATTCCGCGCGTTGTCCAGGCGAAGGACGAGCCAAATCAATGGCCTCAGCAAGACAAATACTAGTGCAACGGGACGAAGCCAAGAGGAAGAGGACGAGATCAACAAGCTCATGGGAAAGATGTTCGGACACACCAGACAGGAAGCATCAGAAGAGGAGAAGACGAGACATCAAGGTGTGATCTTCAAGCACTTGACGGTCAAGGGCATGGGTATTGGGGCAGCACTACAGCCCAGTGTTGGGAGTCTTTTCCTAGACCCTGTGCGATTTTTCAAAAATCTGCTCACCAAGGGGCCGCGCCAGGCAGGCGGTAAACCACCGATTCGCACTCTTCTTGATGACTTCTCTGGTTGCATAAGACCAGGCGAGATGGTGCTTGTACTTGGTAGACCGGGGGCAGGTTGCTCAACGTTTCTCAAGATGATCGGCAATCAACGATACGGCTACGAAGAGATCACAGGCGACGTCTCGTATGGCGGTACTGACGCAGATGAGATGGGCAAGAAGTATCGTTCGGAGGTGCTCTACAACCCCGAAGAGGACCTCCATTATGCGACGCTCAAAGTCAAAGACACACTCAGGTTCGCGTTGAAGACAAGGACGCCTGGTAAAGAGTCACGAAAGGAAGGCGAATCGCGCAAGGATTACGTTAACGAGTTCCTTCGTGTGGTCACCAAACTTTTCTGGATTGAGCACACCTTGGGCACAAAGGTTGGCAACGAGCTGATTCGTGGTGTGTCTGGTGGCGAGAAGAAGCGTGTATCGATCGCGGAAGCCATGGTGACCAAGGCATCGGTACAGTCCTGGGACAACTCGACAAAGGGTCTCGACGCGAGCACTGCTCTCGAATACGTTCAGAGTCTGCGATCTCTCACGAACATGGCTCAAATCTCTACTGCTGTGGCGCTCTACCAGGCAGGCGAGTCGTTGTACGATCTTTTTGATAAAGTCATTCTAATCCATGAGGGCCGTTGCTGCTACTTCGGGCCTACAGAGAAGGCGGCAGATTACTTCAAGAATCTCGGTTTTGTCAAACCTGAGCGCTGGACCACCAGCGACTTCCTGACATCCGTCACCGATGACCACGAGCGACAGATCAAGGAAGGCTGGGAAGATCGCATCCCTCGCACAGGTGCTGCTTTCGGAGAAGCATTCTCCAACAGCGAGCAAGCCAACGACAACCTTGCTGAGATCGACGAGTTCGAGAAGGAGACTAAGCGCCAGGCCGAGGAACGTCATCAGAATCGTACCAAGGCTACGAAGAAGAAGAACTTCACGATTTCATTCCCAGCTCAAGTCGTCGCCTGTACCGACCGCCAATTTCGCGTCATGGTGGGAGACCCGCAATCTCTTATTGGTAAATGGGGTGGCATCTTCTTTCAGGCTCTTATCGTCGGGTCACTGTTCTACAACCTTCCAAACACGGCTCAGGGTGTGTTTCCGCGAGGTGGTGTAATCTTGTAAGTTGTGACTGTACGAAATGCATATGGACATATACTAACTTCGTATCATCATCTTTGTAGCTTCATGCTGCTTTTCAACGCCCTTCTCGCTCTCGCTGAGCTCACGTCCGCTTTCGAATCCCGACCCATTCTACTGAAGCACAAGACTTTCTCCTTCTATCGACCGGCTGCCTACGCTATTGCGCAAACTCTCATCGACATGCCTCTTGTGCTGGTTCAGGTCTTCATCTTCGACATTGTGGTATACTTCATGGCCAACCTGTCGCGAACAGCATCGCAATTCTTCATCTCTCTCCTCTTCCTCTGGATCATCACGATGACCATGTATGCTTTCTTCCGAGCTATTGGTGCCTTGGTAGGCTCCTTGGATGTTGCAACTCGAATTACGGGTGTTGCCATTCAGGCACTTGTCGTATACACTGGTTATTTGATTCCTCCGGCGAAGATGCACCCATGGTTTTCTTGGCTACGATGGATCAATCCCATTCAATACGGCTTCGAAGGTCTCCTAGCGAATGAGTTCTACAACCTCGAGATCCAGTGTGTACCGCCATTCATCGCACCGCAAATTCCCGGGGCCCAGGAGCAGTACCAATCTTGCGCTATTCAAGGCAACAGGCCTGGATCACTTACAGTGGCCGGTCCGGATTACATCTCTGCAGCGTTTGGCTACAGCAGATCGCATCTTTGGCGCAACTTCGGCTTCATCTGTGCCTTCTTCCTCTTCTTTGTGGCGCTAACTGCTTTCGGTATGGAAATCCAGAAGCCAAACAAAGGCGGAGGAGCAGTCACTATCTACAAGCGCGGCCAAGTACCCAAGACTGTTGAGAAAGAGATGGAGACCAAGACTCTACCCAAGGATGAGGAAGCTGGCAATGGTGAGCCGATCACCGAGAAACACTCTAGCGACAACGACGACTCCGACAAGACAGCTGAAGGTGTGGCAAAGAACGAGACAATCTTCACATTCCAAGACATTACCTACACCATCCCATACGAGAAGGGCGAGAGAACGTTACTCAAGGGCGTTCAGGGCTTCGTCAGACCCGGCAAGCTTACTGCGCTGATGGGTGCATCGGGTGCCGGCAAGACGACATTACTCAACACCCTTGCCCAGCGCATCGACTTTGGTGTTGTTCGTGGAGACTTCTTAGTCGACGGAAAGCCACTCCCGCATTCCTTCCAGCGTTCGACCGGTTTCGCAGAGCAGATGGATGTACATGAGTCTACAGCGACAGTACGCGAGGCATTTCAATTCTCAGCGCGGTTGAGGCAACCGAAAGAAGTACCCATTCAGGAGAAGTACGACTACGTCGAGAAGATTATCGATCTTCTTGAAATGCGCGACATTGCTGGTGCAGCTATCGGTACGGCTGGAAACGGACTCAACCAGGAACAGAGGAAGCGTCTTACCATCGGCGTGGAGCTTGCAAGCAAACCTGAACTCCTCATGTTTCTTGATGAACCTACTTCCGGTCTTGACTCTGGTGCTGCCTTTAACATTGTCCGATTCTTGCGCAAGGTAAGTTCATAAACCTTGACAATCTAAGACGACTGACTAACTCGACTGCAGCTTGCGGACGCCGGTCAAGCCATCCTCTGCACGATCCATCAACCCAGCGCCGTCTTATTCGAGCACTTCGACCAGCTCTTACTTCTTAAATCCGGCGGTCGCACAGTTTACTTCGGCGATCTAGGCCACGACTCCCAGAACCTCATCAAGTACCTCGAAGCCAACGGTGCCGACAAATG